TGTTGTGCGGTGACAAATAGTTACTGGAATTATTCTGGTGATCACTTTGTAAGGAATTTAATCATTAGGTTGAACCCCATGTTGTCAACGATATTTTAACTATACTTTACCTTAAAAAGAAGTGTTGGGAAGGCAGGGGTGATAGAATCCTTCACAACCTTCTATAGCACATCCTCAGTCAGTCACAGGTGAGCAGGACACTATGGGGAGAAGAGTCTAGAGACTCTGCCATGCCAGACAATAACCCCTTAGTTGCTGGATCATGGTAAAGGAAGGGTGAAAGGGAATGGTCAGCATTGTGGGGGACCCCAGCATTATGGGGCGTTATGAAGTAGCCAGAAATATGGCATTATTCTAACAGTCTGTACCTCTGTACTAATCATTTGGTATCAGCTCTGGGGTATTGGTGACTGGTGGGAGGCAGAGGATGCAAGGGAGGGTATTGTAGACGGTAACGTTGGAAATGGTCTTTCAGGAAAAGTGACATATAAACTAAGACCTGAATGACAAGAAAGAAAAGCTCAGGAAGGGTAGGGTCCCCGTTTGGGCGCCAGATGTGGGGGACTCCATCCTGCAGAGACGCCAATTCTTCACGGACGAAACAATGAGTCATTCCAGACACCTTTGCCTGTCAAGAAAAGGGGGTGGCGATTCTCTCTAGTGGGGATGCCCTGAGCCCTTCTCTGAAATGGCTTTTATTGAGAATGATTTGTGCAGGGGTATACAGCATACATGCGAAGCTTATCAATCCACGCCAAAGAGCTATAGATAACAGTAAAAGGAACACAAAGATCAGTCAGCCTTGGTTAGGGTCTGATAGACGTACTGGTGTCAGATGGCCATTAAACCAAGGTTGAGGGGCTCAGGAGTCTTTTCTCCTGCTTTGAGACTAAACACTTGATTTTTACCTATGAGGGCGGTGCAAAGCGGGGCAAGCTTCAGTAAATATAATGCACTCTTTAGGCCAGATTTCCCATGGGAACTCTCCGTGCTATGTCTGTCTGGTCGAGACTTACAGACCCTTTCTCAAGGCCTGGCTCACCTGGGGCTACAGTTCCCATACCACACAAAGCGGTCCCCAGCAAGGGAGCAGGTAAATGAGGGGATGGGGACAGCATTCTAGCCACAGAACAGCAAGGACAAAAATGGGGATGTGCACTCAACTTGCCATGTTTGCAGAATGAAAAGAAAGTTTATTTTGCTAGAACCTCCCACTGAGTTACTGATAAGAAATTAGGTCAGCTAAGAGGCACAGGCCAGGTCATGGGGAGCCTTTTGGCCATGATCAGAAAGTAAAATGAGAAGCTATGAGAGGGAGGGCTTTAAGCAGGAAAATGATATGATCTGATTTACATTCTTAAAATACTCTGGCTTCAGTTAGGAGACAGGAGCGGAGGGAAGGGTAGTGCTTTAAGGAGAAAACAGTGAAGAGGTTGGTTGAGCACATAGGTAATAGTAACCTGGGCCATAGTGAGAGCAGTAGAGTTGGAGAGAAGTGGGCTGATTCAAGATTTATTTGGAAGCTGAGGGGGTTTTAATGATAGATCCACTCATCTTTGATATGCCTCCCCTCAAAAAGTGAAGACTTCATCTTCTCCTCTTGAATGTGGGTGGGAGTTTTTTTCCTGCTAGCAAAGAGAATATGGCAGAAGTAGGAGATGTTACTGTGAGGCTGTTATTAAGAGATAGCGGCTTCCATTTGGGGGAAGGCATGTTGTCTTGCTCTGTAGATTCCTCTCCCTAAGGGAAGCCAGCTGCCACGTTACGCTGCTGCTCTGAGGAGATGTCCCTGTGGCAAGGGATTGGAGCCTATCAAGAACCATGTGAGTGATCTTGGAGGTTGATCCCAGATCCTCCTCCACCCCAGCCTAGTTCAGTTTTTAGATGAGACTAAGACTGCGTTAGGGTTCTTCAGAGAAACAGAACCAATGCCAGATAGAGAGATAGATAATAAGATTTACAATGAGCATAGTTATGGAGACTGAGATATGCCACAATATGCTGTCTGAGAACGGGAGACCGAGGAAAGCCAGTAGTGTAATTTAGTCCAGTTCAAAGTCCTGAGAAATGAGGGAGCTACTGATGCACGTTCCAGAGGCCAAAGGCCCAAGAATCAGAAGCTCTGATGTGTCAGGGCAGGAGAAGATGGATGTCTCAGCTGAGTGAAGAACGAGTTCCTCCGTCCTCCACCTTTTTGCTCTATACAGACCTTCAAAGGATGGGATCATGCTAGCCTGCTTTGATGACAGAAGATCTTCCTTACTCAGTTTGTTGATTCAAATGCTAATCTCTTCTAGAAAGATTCTCACAGACAGATACACCCAGAAGTCATGTTTTACCAGCTATCTAGAAATCCCTTAGTCCAGTCAAGATGACACATAAAATTAACCTTCACAACTCTGGCTGCCAGCATGGCTCCCAGCTCAGGAGAGACCTTGAGAGGTATCGGCTGTGCCAAGCCAAGATTTCTTGACCCACAGAAACTATGTGATGATAATGTTTGTTGTTTTTAACTACTAGGTTTTCTCTTAATTTGTTGTGCAGCAGTAGATAATTAATATAGGTGTATAGCCCATGGGACTGATATGTTCTGGTGCAAGGAGGTATGAGAGAAAGGGATGGAGGTAGAGGTCTAGATTCTGGATTTGAGAAACTAAATGGTAGTGGTGTCATTTACTGACATGTGAAGAGTTTGGAAAATGTTGGGATGGGAGAATCAAAAGCAGAACGTGTTCTGCTTTGGACACATTTTGAAGAGACTATTAGACACCCCAGTGGGAATGTCAACCAGACAGCCAGCCAGTGAATACAAGGTGAGTGTTCATCAGCCAACCAGCCATTAAATGTCTAAAAAGGGGCCACTCTTAGCCAGATTCTTTTCTATCTCTGGGTATTACAGTGTGAAACAAGACAAACCTCAGTGAGCTTCTACTCCATTCTTCAGCAACGGATCACAAATTAACAAGATGATTTCTGAAACAATAAATAATGAAAAAAGATGGGGTCATGTTGAAGGTTGTTGGAGGTGGGGTTTGCTACTTTACTTCGAGGTATTAAGTATGATTTTCTTGAAGCCACAGAAAGAGGCTTGAGCTGGATGTGTACATTTTGGAAACTCCAGCAAACTGATGGCACTTAATTCCACTGGAATTGATGGGACCTCCTCAAGGAAGAATGTAGAAAGAGAAAATATCTCAGAACTGGTCCTGGGGCTTTCATCATTTAAAGGTCAGGGTCAGGAGGGCCCTGCAAAGAATCCAAGAGAGGAAAGTTTTTGTTTTTTTTTTTTAAGGGGGTAGTAATTAGTGCCCAATGTGGTTATAAGTTGAGTATGATTAGAGCAGAGAAGAAACCACTGGATTTGATACCATGGATGTTATGGATGGTTTAATAAAAGCAAATTCTACAGACAAGTGAAAGGAACACAAGCTATATTAGAATGGGTTAAGTAAAGAATGGGAGATTGGAGATATTCCTTAAAGTTAGTTACTGAATCAAACCATTGTTTTCTTATGCTGATAAGCAATGAGTAAAGAATTTGGGGGTGAGGCTCAGCAGGCCATTCTTCTGCTCCACAGGGTATCAACTGGGGTGCTTCAGTGGTATTCACTCGGTGGCTGGACTACTCTGGAGTGTCCACGAAGACTTCACTCATATGTCTTCTGCCTTAGTAGAGATGGCGATGGCTAGAAGGCTGGCCTTAGCTGGCTGCTTTCCTGCTCCATGTGTTCATGGCCTTTCACGTGGACACTCCAGTGGGGTGGTCAGGTTATTTTGTAGAAGCTCGAGGTTAAACAGCACGTGTTCCAAGTGACAGGAGGTGGAAGCTGCTGGTATCTAAGGCTATGCCTTCAAACTTTAGTAGCACTACTATATTTTATGAATCAAAGCATTCATGGAGTTAGCACTAAGTTGAGGGGAGCGATTCTATACCCCACTTCTCAATTGGAAGAGTGTGAAAGAATTTCTGGCCATCATTAATCTGTTACAAGAAGTGATACAAATGGAAACAGTAGCTGCTGACAAAGTCTTTGGAAGAGATTTTACTTTTTTACAGGGGTAGAAAAAAGGACAGTAGTTAGAATGTGGGATCCAAGAGCATTTTCCCCAGAAAACTATGAGTGACAATAAAGCATTTCGGTGTCTGATGGCAATATTTAAGGCAAAAAAAGAAGAGATGGATGTTGTAAGAGAGAAGGTGTAACTGGGACCAAAACCCTTAATAAGGACAGGCCCAAGGGAAAGGGAGGGACTGGCCACTAGGGAAGCAGGAAACACGTGGCTCCTGTGACGGCAGCGATGGGCGTGCAGAGGCCCCTTCTCTCTGGCTAGGCTCAGCTGTTGGCTCATCGTTGAGGCATCCCCTTTTCAGCGAGGCCTTCCTTGACTCCCCTTCCTTAAATGGATCTCAGAGTTCCCTATCTCCTCTCCCGCCTTATGCTTCTCCATAGAGTGTGCACGTTAGCCACAGCACTAGACAGGCAGCAGTGATAATATTTCGCTGGTTTCTGGCACATCGCAGGTACTCAAATGTCAGCGAGTGCTGGAATGAACGGACACTGGAGCCACATCCCGAATGAGCTGTAAGGTCAGGGATGGCGCTGAGAGAAAGATGTTTGAAAGGGGCACACAGTGGTATGCTGGGGAAAGTAAAGTGAGAGCTTCGGGGCTCCAATCACAGCTTTCCCTGCCTTCCAGGTCTTTTCTAGCTGAGTCACGGGGATCAAGTCGCCGAATCCCTCTGACCCACAAGGATTAGGACCTTTATTGGCACAAAGTGAGCGCTCATCAAAGCTTGGCTCTCCTTTCCAACCCTCTCCATGAGCTCTGACCTGCTTGTTGGCCCCCTCCGTTCCTGGTCTAGACGCTGTTCATGGTTTCCTTTTTTTAAAGTCCCCGGGAGCACGCAGGCAGGTGCCGACCCGAAGCCAGCGCCGTCGGTGCGCGCAGGGGCGTGGTGCGCTGGGGCCCGGCGGGCGGGGCCGGGAGGGCCAATCCCCGCCGTGCAGGTGGGACTCCGGTTGCAAGCTAGTACGCTCTCTGCGCCGCGGGAGAACACCTCTTCACCGTTCTCTGTCCCAGACCATGGTGAAGGTGACGGCGTTTGCCCTCTTGGGGCTGGCGCTGATATTCTTCAAGGATTACCGGTCTTCTTACCAGTAAGTCGGGCTGTGGTGAGGGCTGCAGCACCGGTCTTCCCCACCCCTCTCCCCGCCTGCCCACGACGCCCCCGCCCTCACCCCCGAAGGTGGGGGTCCAGGCTCTTAACAGAAAGTCTTCCAGACAAGTCGGGGAGGCACATCCCGCAGGCCTTCCGTAAGTGATTGTCCAACTTTCGGTTGCCACTTGGAAACACCTCCATCGTTGCTCGAGATCCGAGAGATGGGACTACGGAGTGCGCTGTCCGTGGTGTGAGTGGCCAAGTTGCTGGTGTAGGCAAATTAATTTTTCATGAAGATCCGTGTGCCTTGGCTACGGATTCACTTCTCAACCTCTGTTCAAAACAGATAACCAGACTGGGGGTTGCCCTGACATTGTGTGAATTAGGGAACAGAGCTCCCACCTTGGCTGCCTGGCCCGCGCTCTCCAGTGGGGACTGGGTGGGGAGCGGGGGTGGGAGGAGGTGGACCCTGGAGCTAGCATTTGATGCCCTGGGGTCTTGCTCTGTCCCTTACTGTGTGAGAGCTTAGGCAAGTCACCGTTGGTCTCTAACGTGCGCTGCTTCAGTACACCTGAAATCGTACTAAATACACACTTAATAACAGAAGGCAACTAACAGTGCTTGGGACGTAGTAACTATTCAGTGAATGTTAATGCTCTGCTGCCCTCGAAGTATTTTCTATATTGTTAGATACTGGGGGCTGGGCAGTGGCTAGCTTATAAGAATGTATCAGTAGTTTTATGGTAATTTTTTTGCAGGGGTTCAAAGTCTAGAGATCACCTAACCTCGAAGACTTAGACGACAAGTAATTTGTTTACTTTGAAGTAAAACATTACAAAAAATCAAATAGAACATTTTGGGTTTTTTAAAAAATTACATAACCCTATGGACTAATTAGAAGTTGACATTCAGAAGGTTGGTTTTTTGTTGTTGTTGTTGTTGTTGTTTTAAATAAGCTATTGGTTTTCTTTTTTTCTTCTAATTGTTGGTTATTTTTGGAATCCAGCTGTTAGAAAAAAGAAAGAGAGATTTGGGGTTTTAAATTATGTGAAAATTAGTTTGTGAATTTTTACGAATCATGGTACTATTTGCTACAAAAGGGGAATTATATATATTTATTCCAGCATATGTGTGCATTGTGATATCCCGTGGGTCGAAAAGAAATGCAATGAGCGGGAACCATCTAACACCCAATCTAAGCTCCTCCTTTGCAGGCTTCATTTGCAGCTGTGCCCGGTTTGTTCCACTGCACTCTCCCTGCTGTCCCTCATGAAGATGTCTTCCGCAGAATTACAGAGCTGCAGTGAAGGAGGGAGGGTCTATCCTTCTGGTTTAACATCCTTAATTTACTCTAAGAAAGGACACTTTAGGCACCTTGTATATGTTTTTATGTAAACATGTAGCTTTACCACCTCCATCCTAAAAAGTTTCTCTCTCAGTATGAGGTCTTGGCTTGTTCTATTCAACCTTACTATTTCCCCAAGTTTGTACTTTGGAACATGAATCTCAAGACTTGCTCCATGAAAAAATGGGTTCCTCTAACAAATAAATTTGGGGAATGTTGTCTGTTACAGCCTTTGCCCAGAGATTGGCAGTGTTCTCTGGCATATTGGAGGCTTTGAAAAGTCCTTCAGTTAAGAAAATGATGTTTAAGGCATCATTTTGCAGACTTATTTGCCCATGTCCTCTACTCCCTTTTTTTGGTACTGTCCATGAATGTCCTGCATGACTCTCTGAGACCGTTGGAGAAGGGCTATTCTGTACCATTGACTTGCACCAGGACTCAGATTTCACCCCGAAGAAGATGGGTCTTGGCCTTGGGCATCAGGGGAAGCTCATATAGGAAAACAAAGAAGTTTTCATGGGAAAATGGATTCAGGGCCCCAAGTCTGGTTCTATTTTCCTGAGAAGGACCAAAGTACACTAAGGTCATAGCTGAAGCCATCGCCAGTCTCTGAGAGTCCCTTTGTTGGCTTTGCCTGTGGTTTCCCCGTGCGGATAGGGTGTCTGCAGGAGATACTTCACCGTAGGGATGCTGCAGTGGGAAGGCCTGGGGTCTGGTTGGTAAGTAAGAACTTAGACTGTGTTACATTCAGTGCCTGGATCCATTGAGTGGGGAGGGAGCTTTAGTCCTTGAACTTCCCATCTATAATCAGATGACCGAGGACGGAAAAGTAAAGTGGGACAGGGATGGACCTCTGGTTTTAGAATAGAAAGCGGTCTTGACAAGCAGGCATACGAGCAATGCAGGACTGAGAGGATGGGTGGTTAGGGCGATGGAGGATGGGAGCAGAGCCTGCTGGAGCAGCCCAGGCAGAAAGGCCCTACAGCCTCCCTACTCCAAGGGGCTATGGACCAGATGCGAGCACATCACCAGCGGGCTCCCTGGACTAGCAGAATCTTAGGTCCCACCCTACACTATTGAACCAAAATAAGCCTTATTTAACAAGCTCCCCAGGGGATTTGCATGCACTTCTCTAAAGGACATTCAATTCCTGCATCAACCATGTTAGAACCAGATCAAAAGATACTGGAGGATCAGTACAACACCTTTATCCCCATTTTAGAGATAAGGCCCCTGAGGCCCAGAGAAGATCATGAATCTGCCCAAGGGAGAGAGGGGAAGAGATCGTGTCCAGAGGGCTGCATCAGGGGCACACCAGACCTCCACTGGATGCACCCTTTTTTTCTTATTCAGAGGTGGGTGTATAGGAGTGGAGCAGGTTCACAGAAGTTATACAGGCCTAGGGCTGGGAGAAACATCTGAAACAATACAAGGGTGTCTTGGCACTGTCCCTGGTATTTCCAAGGTGATAGCCACACAGGTGAAGGACCTGAAAATTAGCTTTTATGATTGCCACCTGCTATCACAAAAACCTACTGATGAGTGATCCACCTAATGAGTGATACTTGAATGTACCTTGTAGCACTGCCTCACTGAGACCCTAAGCTAAAGACAAATAACTCGCCAGTCTACATTGCCAATGCCATCAACACCATGTGCTTTGTCTGACACACTTGCCTACTGATTCCACGAAATAATTCAGCAAGCATCTATTGAGTACCTTCTTCATGGGAGCACTAGATGTGTGCTGGAAGTCTCAGGGATGACTAGGGTTCAGTTACAGATTTCAGAGCTTACTGTGAGGAGCAAGACCAAAAACTGATAACTGTAAAACACTCTGGTGCGAGACTTGATAGAAGTATATGTGACGTTTCCTGGGAATAAATGAAGGAGTTATTAACCCTATCCAAGAAGATGAGGAAGAACTACAGGAGGTCATGTAGGAGTTTTTCCCATGGGTTGGGAGGTGAAGGGTGTCCTAGGAAGAAGGAAAAGCATGAGCAACTGAAAAGAAGTGAAAACAACAGACGCAAGTGTCCTTGGTATCATGACACCTAACTTCAAATCTCAACTCTACCTTTTTAAATAAGTGAGCACAGCCATACTACTTAGCTTCTCTCTGTCTCAGTTTATTTACTTATGAAACAGATCAAATATTAATCCTTGCCTCAAAGGTGACCAAGGAGATTCAACAAGGAAGCAACGTGAAAGCCCTGAGCACAAGTGTTGGCACATACCAGGTCTACACAGGGAACACTGAGTGACTGAGGAGTGTGCAGTGGCAGACAATAGACTAATGAGGGTGAATCTGGCCCTAAGGAAAGTTTCAGAATGGATGTCTTAATGCATAGTTGAAGATCCTCGCTTGCTTTTGTAACAAGCAAACAAGTATTCACAAAGGATAATCCACAGTAGGGAGTATGTGATTTCCAGCCAGAGTTCAGAGGCTTGTGGATCAGGGACACACTTTCAACAGTGCCCTTTATCCCTTAGACCCGGAGTGAACAAGGAACACTGGGAGTGAACCAAGGCGTTGACAAGGTATTTCTTAATACTTGAGAACAAGATAGAAAAATATGAGAAGAGTTATAGCAACACATGCAGATTTGCCCTTTGATGCATCCACTGGCTTTGAAGCACCTGCCATCTGTAAATTTTGCTTGGGCAGAGGACTGAATGTGAGCTGTGCATTCATACTTGAGTTCAAATCCCAGCTCAACCACTTCATCACTTTGTGGTCTTGGAAAGGCACTTAATCCTAGCCATCTGTAAAATAGAGAAAATAATGCCTCAGGAAGGTGTTTGTGGACTAAGTGAGGGTATATAGTTGAAATGTAGTAGTAATAATTATCCTGTTGAGACATGGTTTGCGTTGGCCACAAATTTGAAGTCAGCAACTTTGTGCTGCGTTCATGCCTCCTTACTGACCCTGGATGTGTCTTACCTGTGGTCGTCCTCTGTTTTCCAGGTTAGACGTGATCCGCCATGAGAGAGAGCTGGGATTAGAATAGAGGCTGAGTAGTTCAGCTTTTCTCTGCCCTCAGAGAATCCACCACGTTTAATGAACCCCGAGAGCCAGGAAGTATGCTGAGTCTTCTCATGTGGTTTTGATTCTAAGTTAGTTCGGCTCTCCTTAACATTTTTCACAAGTCTTGGCCCATTCAGCAATTTCACATCCTCAAATCTCTTCTTCCATGCCACTCTTTGCACTGTCCTTGGTTCATATTTAGCACCTTGTCCTTTGAGCTCCTGGGGTGCCATATGCACTCACTGAGCTTTCTCCAGACCAGCATTTTTTCCCAAGTGGTGGGTCACAAAATTCATGTAGCAGATCATAACCAGCATTTTAAAATAAATGAAATAGAATTAAATCAAAGAGCTAAGGATGTCTCTATCCCATGTATCAGGGTGAGCATTCCTTTTTGAACCTTATTTCAGATCTGTGCAGTACGAGGGTGTGTGTACTGTTTCTTTTCTACAAAATGTTTTTCCTGATGTGCATCACAGTCTGAACAGTTTCAAGCCACTGTTCCATCACTATCCCTTTTTATTTCTTTATTGTGAATTTTTGTGATTGTACCTCAGATTCTCATTTTTGAAATACCTTTTATTTTCTCAGGTCGTGGAGCAGATCCCGACCTTCCTTCGAAGTCTGTTTTCTAAGTTCAAGCCCCTCCTTCAGGGAACCACCAGCTCCTTGCAGGCCAGGCCTTCCTCATCTCGGGATCCGTGGCCACCAGACTGGTGGTTCTCCACCCTGGTTGTGCATCAGGATGAACTGTGGTGCTTTCACAAAGCCAGCTACCGGGCTCTGCTCCTAGCCTTTCAGGTCTGAACCCCTTAGAAGGTAGGATTGGTAGTCAGTAGCATGGTGGTAGGAACATACTATACTTTTTTTCCCCCTGAATGCATAATGAAAGATCAGTTGCCCTTAAGTTCCTATCATTTTCTATCAGGTTGGTAAGAATTTTGTCCAAAGTTTCCATTGACCTCTAGCTCATCCTCCTCCTTCTGTGAGACTAAATTATCAGTACTGTTTTGGCCTGTCTGCCTTTAGCCAAATAAGATTTCCAGGGATTCTTAGGTATTGTTAATGCTCACTACGACTATGATAATACATTTATCAAATTGTTTATTGTTTAAATCCCTTGGCTGTGCTAAGGCTGTAGTGCGTTTCTTTCCAACAGCTCGTCGATAGCTTTGCTTGTCTCAGGCAGCCTGCTCCTACTTCCTTCTCACATCTGTTCTTTTTCCCTTTGTCCTTTACTCCAATGTTCCCCTAGATGCTTATGCACTCAGATTTAATAAGTTGCTTTTGGGTGTGTTTGTGTGAAATGTCTTTTTATATGCTGGCCTTAGGTATGATCTTTTGAAGTTATACATCCTTTTAAGCACACCTGTATTTTTCAAGTAACGCACCCGAAAGCAGATGCCCAGTACAGGCTCTGGAGTCCGACCAGGCAGGTGGGCTGGAGGCCCATCTGTCAGCAACCCAAAAACATCAATGGAATAAATTGGAACCATGTTGCTATTTACCAAATTTCCACATAGGAATCCTTACACAGCTGGTGAAACAGTTCCTTTTCCAGCAGAAGTGCACAGAGCCCTGGAGAGGACATTATGTTCTTCTTTATATATCTGTTCACCTCTGCCTAGTTAATATTAATTGTACCTACAGGCCCCATGTGTCTTGCTCCAGCCTTGCCTGGGACCGCAAACCCTGGGTTGAAACCCAGGCAAAGTAAAGTTAAGGAATACTTTATTGGCTACTACCTTTGCAACTTAATTGTAATATCTGAATACTTTTATGTATATTTTATTCTTTTCTTTCCTGTCCCAGGACACGACTTAATGCTTCCCGAGAAGTAAAACCAGTGGAACTTCCTAAGTGTAATTTAGTTAAAGGAATAGGTAAGTATGTGAGAGAGGGAAATATCCCATTTGAACTTGCAGTATTATTTTGTTATTTATGTGATTACTACACCTGTTAAATTGTGTTCAAAAATAAAACTATAAATCAGAAGAATATGATCAAGTCAGTTAATTTTATTATAAATAAATTGCTTGTCTTTTAACATATTGCCAAGGTGTTGACAGTTTTCATCATTGTTTTTGTTTGGTCTGTTTAGTAAAACAATAGAACAATGTTTGATTTTATAGTAATACAACCTGTGGAGATGGCAGAGGAGAGAAGATGGAGAAAAAGCAGTGAGTAAAGAGTAAAATTAAAAAATTCTTTTTAATTTATTGATTATACAGGGAGAGAGGGAGAGAGATGGGGAGAGAGGGAGGGAGAGAGATATTAATTTGTTGTTCCACTCACTTATGCATTCATTGGTTACTTCTTGTATGTGCCTTGATGGGATTGAACCCCAAACTTGGCATATTGGGAGGACGTTCTAATCAACTGACCTACCCAACCAGGGCAAGGGTAAATTTTTAAAAAGCCCTCACCCACTTTTGCAATTAACCACAAGGCTTCTTGAGGCTCTCAACACATTTCCCCTTAGGTCTCATTAGTCAGAGTTAGACAACTGGCCAGTGCCCTAGCTGCAAAGGAAACTGGGGAAGTTGTTATGGGCCCTCCGTGGTAGGAGGCAGGCCCTGTCAGCAAAGATAGAAGGGCAGGGGTATAACAGCTGGTAGGCAACCAATGGGGAGTATCCTAAAGCTTGAATCCCCATCTGGTTTCAACCAACAAGCTTTGTTATTTGAGGACGGCTTCTTTGAGGTCTATGCTTATGTTGTTTCGTGGGGTTTTTTTGTTTCTTTGTTGTTGTTTTTTTTTAAATTATTTATCTTAGTTGCCTAATGTTAGAAAGGCTAAACCAGATGACTTATTCATTTAGAATGGATAAACTTGGTCAGATATCTTATAGTGCATTTTTCCCCCTAGAAAACAGATATGATGTTGATATTAAATATCATTAGATATTTGAAAACCAAACATCCCCTCTAAGAGTATCAAAGCAAAACTAAAAGTTCTGATTTGTTTCTAGACTGATTGGAATTTTTAAAATTTACATGTATTTAAAATATAACTGACTTGATCATATTTTACTGATGTTCATAATTAATAAGTAAATGCATACTCTTCATATGAAATGTATCCTCATTTTAACTGGTTTAGAATTTGCTTATATTTCCAATGTGGTTTTCAAAGAGTTTATTTGATTTGGAACTATTAATATATATCAATATATATTTGGAGCTACTAATATTTATAATATCAGTATATATTGGTAGTTTACTCTGTGTCTTTTAAAAAACAGCAAGCTGTTTTCAAATCATTGTACCTTTTGCACATTTTGTAAATTTACATAAAATTTATATGAGATTTCAGACTCTGAGAAAAAAGTTTTAGTTCATCAATTTAAAACAAATATATTAAATGTAAATTGTAATTACATTTAATTATATTCATGTCTTTTAATTTTTATATAATTACATTAGTTAATTGGAAAAATATGTGAAAGGCTTATTCCGAACCTATCAAGGAGAGATGCTATATAGTCCTGTTTTCAAGTTAGGGCTGATTTAAAAACAGGACCACTAGCTTCCTGTGATAGCGTGAAACAATCTGTGCCATCTATTCCCCTTCCTGGCAGAAAACGGCTCTGAAGACTTGGAGATACTTCCTAATGGACTGGCTTTGATTAGCTCCGTAAGTGTGCTGTTTCACTATACCATTTTCTAGAACCAGAAGTTTTTGTCTTTCATTTAACCCTTCTATATACTGATGTACACCTTCAAATAAAATGAGCAGTCATATGGTTCAAAAAACAAACTATAGATTCATTTTCACGGCTGTTATCATTATGACTGTATGAGCTCCGTGCATATTTGTATTCCTGTGTGCATACTGAACTCCTGTATTACCTTATCTTCCATTGTAACAATTGTGAGCCTAGTAAGTCTAAGAATGGCTTCCTATTCAACTTTCTGTCCCTTGAATTAGTTAAGTGGTGTACACAAATATTTTGCTGAATTTAGTGTACTTTTATAGCCCCTCACACATCATTTAGATTTTTACCTTTTTTATTGTACTTTTCAGAATAAGTCTTTTAATATAAAATTGCTGGTGGACTATTCCGTATTTCCCAATTTTGAAGGGAGAACCCACCATGTTTATGGAAACTCTCATGCATGAAAATCACTGTGGTAGTGGTGTAGCCCCAAACAGAAGATGACCATGTAGTCTAGGATGACAAAGTTAATAGGGTACCGTATACAGGTCAGCCATTGAAACCCTTTGCCGCCAGTTGTAATTTATTTAGTCCAGTTTTCTCTTATGAAGGTGGCGAATCATTCCTCTACAAGAGTCTCCTGCAACATTTTTTAAAGCAACGGAGTACATATTTGAAGCCAAATCACACACAGGGCGCCAATGTCTAAAACCAGTTAAGAACTATGTTGTTCTAATTGCAGACTTCCCCTAAGTCTCTGTGCCTGAGATGTTCCCTTATATTCCTTGTTTATATTGTTAAAGCCCACTAGCAAGTGTCCTTTTGGTCCATTCTGCCATTTTTTAACCTCTCTCTTGGGTTGGTAGTTGTGCCATGGGACTCATATAGCTTCGCTGCTTCTGATGGGTCTGTGCTGGTGCGTGGGGACCCCCAACGGAGCATGCACTTCCCAGAGCCCCCTGTGGGCCTGCTGCATGCGCCAGCTAAGGGGCTGCCCGGGGACCTCGTTGCGTGGCGCAGACGGAGTGAACCCACGTGCCATCTGCCACCTCCATCAGCATTTGTAATGTTCCTGGTATTTTCTCCTTCATTATTCATAAGGGATTAAAATATCCTGACATAACGAGCTTTGAACCCAATAACCCTGGAAAAATACTTTTGATGGACTTGAATGAGGAAGATCCAACAGTGATAGAACTGAAGATCATTGGAAGTAAATTTAATACGTCTTCATTCAACCCTCACGGGATCAGCACATTCACAGATAAAGGTAATGATAATAAATGTTCCCTAGAAATAAAACCAAATTTAAAAAAAAACAAACAGAAAAAGTTAACACATAAATGTTTCTTTTTATTCAATTAAAGTACAATCATGAATAATGTTCTTATTCTGCATTTTAAATGTACCCCCTGTGTTCATTAAATATATAACTGCTTAAATGCTTGAGACTGTTAAAATATTTAAGATTTCTGAAGCACCTAGTTTTAAAAAATACTACCAGCATTCACATTATCCCAATAATTACTGTAGTAATAATATTCAGCCCTAATAGTATAGGTTTTCAAATTTTATACCATTTTACAGATTCAGGCATGTACAGGAATAGACTTTTCTAACATAAGCCACCTGAAGCTTATAGATCCACTGAAAGAAAGTCACTATGGTCAGCCTCCTCTCAGCCCCGTCCCCTTCAGTGGCTCCCTGTCCTCTGCTTCCTCTGTTTTGTCTTCAGACTGCTTCTCCACATTTTAATGTGCTGCCCCTCATCCCTTATATCTTCATTTTCTTCCTTCTTTCCTCCCTCCCTCCCCCTTCCTCCCTTCCTCTCTCTCTCCCCCCTCCTTTCTTTCCTCCCTCTTTTTCTGCCTTCCTCAACCTCATTTTATGCAGTTGACCACTTGTCCTTCAAGTAACTTGTTCCTCCCTCTGATGCTATCACAGGTTTTCTCTCCTGCTCATTGTTTTGTCATTTACGTCAAAATTTCTGAGCATTTTCTAAAGGACTGCTCTTTTGCACCTTCTGTATTTTCTCCATTTCAGAAAGTAGGAAGTTCAGCCATATCAACTATAACTGTACCTACTTTGTAGAACACCTCTAATGGGGTATTCTTTTCTTTTTTAAATCAGCTCTTCAGTCCCATTCCTTCAGCTTACTTGGTAGTTCTATTTGGTTCCTCTGCTATAGCCACATTCAACTCAAAATGTGGCAAAATTATTTTCCATCTTTTGATTTTCCCTTTCTTCTACAGGACATGATTTCCCTCCCTATATATATAATTTTCCATTTGATGATCTCTGTATGTATTTATCGACATTATATTTTATTTTCAAAATATTTTTTAAGTGCAAAGAGATATAGTGTTGGGCCTGTGTATATACTTTTAAATAAAAATGGGGAAATGCTACACAAATATTACACAAACCTTTCTATAAGTTGCTTTTGCATTAAACATTAAATTCTTTTTATGACTGTGCATTTTGAGCTACTTTGTAATGGCTGTTAATGGATAGTTGGTCTGTATCTACCTTTATGTTCATCGCAAACAATGCTAAAATATCGTTCTTGTATATATATCTTGTGTGAATATTTCCTTAGGATAAATTCCTAGAGGTAGACTTTGTTGTGCAAAGTATGAATCCAGGCTTTCACCCTCCCTTATGTTTGATATCTGACCCCCTCTTTCCTCAGACAGCATCAGGAATGATGTCGAATGCCCTTCATGTCCTTTCCTGCCTTTCTTCCCCATCCAGTCCCCTCTCTCTACATGCCTGGATTGCTGCTGTAGCCTTAGGTTATGTTACTCCTCGGCTCACATTTCCCACGAGTAAAGTCTGGATCCCTACCCTAAGCCCTAACAAGATTAACTGTGGCTCCCTGCCTGTGGCTCCAGACCTCCCACTCTCCGTCACTCACGCTACTCCAACTACAACCCTACTACATGAATGTGCCACAGAAGCTTCTGCCTCAGGCCCTTTGCACATTCTCTTCCCTCAGCCTGGGAGGTTCTTTCACCAGATGTTCATGTGGTTTCCTCTCTTATTTCATTTAGGTCTCTGCTTTAATATCACCTCCTCAGAGAGAACTTCTTGGACTGCCATGAAGAAAACTTCATTACTCTCCATCCCTTTGTTCCATTTTATTTTCCCTTTGTGTCACTTAACATCAACTAAAATAAATTATATATTTGTTTGTTGAATAAAGAGCCTCCGAGGTGGCTTCTCTGCTCAAATCTGTTCATTTCAATCTATGAAACTTCGCATTATTTTCCCTTAAACACCAATTTGGTAATGTCAAAGGTTTCCAAAGACTTATTGACTTTTAAGACTATAACTCTACTTGCCTCCTTCTTGACCAGTTAGACCGGTCTCTTTCATGTCCCAAATTTGCACTGATTCACAGTAGTGGCTTCCTTTGATACTCTCTCAGGTGTTCTTTTATGGAATTTATCCTCTTATACTGTGTAAATTACACCTGAACACATATCATATTAGTCTTTCCCACCTCCTTTATCTCTTTTATCTTAACTCTGCATTTCTCTGAGACCATCTACAGTAGACAGCTTAACAAGCTCTTTGGAGTTTTAGTGTCAAGCGCTGCTCATTCTTAATTTGAGGCTATTTTTCTCCCTGTGGAGTTGGGAGTTTTTAGAGACTGTGGCTGGTTTCTCCTTTAGACATTTCTCTTTGGAACAATCACAAACGCTTTTCTCTACAAAGAGATGAAAATATTCCATCTGCCTGACACCCTAAGTACTAGTTGGAGGTGGGTTGAAATTGCTTTTTGGAGACAGTTCTGACAGCTGAGAGCTCAGTTAATGTTTCGATTTTTGTTTTTAATCTCTTCTCAGATAATACCGTGTACCTGCTGGTGGTGAACCATCCAGATGTTAAGACCACCGTTGAGTGTTTTAAATTTCAAGAAGAAGAAAAATCACTTTTGCATCTGAAAACCATCAGACATGAACTCTTACCTAAGTACTGAAATCCTATTTCTATTTCCTTTTTAACACTGGTGAATGGTTAATCCACTTCTAGTTTTCCCTTTGGCTGAGGGGTGGGTAAGGAGGGTAATGGCTGTTCAACTCTCCCTTCTAGTGATCACACGCTCCTCCAAATCTTCTGCAGAAATGTTTGAGGATCCAACCCTCTTAAAAAAGACCTGTTATCCCCCGCCCTCATTTCTCAGGCTCTCTGGGTGCTGGCTTACGAGGCCTGGCCTCAGAATGTTTGCTAGAGCTTTTACCAAGGAAAACCGCCGTTCTTGTCCAAAAACAGACCCAAACCAGCTTCATAGATGACTTTCACACCTTAAGTTTATTTATTTGTTACTTATTTTTATGTTTAAAAAAAAAAATAGAACCTTAGATGTTTCTGTGAATTAGAAACATGCACCTAGAGGAGGCCTGAAATCTGGGGCCTCTGAGCAAGCCCTGCACTGCCTCTACCGCAGTGAGGTCGCACATGATTTATGAAACAGCAGACCTGTGAACACAGCTCCGTCCCGTCTCCCTGAAAACATGAAATATGGAAAAAAAACACTCAAGGACCCCTGACTCCCATCACCCCAACACCAGGTCAACTTCCTTGCTTCCTTTAGTATTTGATTCATGAGGCAAGGGATGGAGTTAGGGTAATAATCTGCACTTTCCGCCCCCCCCAAAACAATGTTATCCTCTAATCATGATGGCTTTCTGGAATCCCAACCTCTGTTTGAATAATTCACACACAGCATTCAACTACTTCAGTATTTGTAAATCTAGATTCTTTTAAACTATGAGTTATTTACATGCAGGTACCTAGCAAAATGCCTGGCATATATTGATAGTTTGAGCTCAGTGTTACCAGTGCCCTTTCCTCTCCCTTTTTTACCTGATGGTTTTGAAGATGAAGAAACAGACTGGAGAGAAATTGAGTTACTGGATGAAGGTCAACCAATCAAATAGTGGCCGATTAGAAACTATGGCCCAGGTGTTCTCTATCCCAAGAACGGGTGAAGTTTCAGAGAAAAGTTTTTAATGGGAGAGTTTATTTATACAGTCGTGCTACAAATATATTTTAGAAGGAGAATGAGGACACTGAAAATGTGCCAAATACCAAGATCTAAAGTAGGGAAAAGTATGTAGAATGGAGAGCTGAGCTTATAATAATAATAGTGGTAGTAGTATTAATAATCACTTAATGAGCTTAAGCTATGTTAGGTGCGGCAATAACCAATTTAAACAGGTTATTTTTATTAACTTTTTACAAATACCTTTTTGTTCAGGTTTTATTGTTACACCATTTGGATTTAAAAAATTTGAGGCCTGGAGTATTTAACTTGCCCCACATGGAATTTTAATCCTGGTAGCTTGAGTCTGGAGTTGGTGAATGGAACCGCTATGAAATAGTGAAAACATATTTGTTTCACCATCTAATCTTGGAAATCTCAGACTTGCATAATTTCCCAGGGTTAGAGTATTGTTTTTTTCTGGGCCCATTGCAAAAATATTGGTCTTTGGCAATGTAGAATTGAAAATAACTATAGTGGCGCAATTAATTGAAATTCTGCTCTCTCAACCCAAGAACTACCCATGCATATTTTCTGCCTTGCACTTGATGGTTATTTATATCCATCTATTTTTTAATTACTAATCTATTATAATTTAAGCTTGTTACTGTTAATAATAGCACAGTGGTCATTATTGGTCATTTACCATATGTTAGGCATGGTGCCAGGGCCTTTCCATTCATTACATCATTTTATTTTTACCACAGGCTGTCAAGGCACAGCATGGAAACTGAGGCTCAGAGTTTAGTGACATCCTGTGACCCCACAGATGATAGCAAGCAAAGGGAGGATGCAAATGGAGTCCATCAGATTTTAAATCCATTACCCTAAACCATTCTGCTCTGCTCCTTTGTATGAAAAACAGCCAATGATTGTAAAGCATACTAATTTTGAAAATTTGCTTTTAAAAAAGAGAGGGAAAAGACGCCTAGTTTGCAGGTTTATGCCTGGAGCCTTAAATTAAATCTTAATTTAAGATCAAGACTAATCTTAAATTCCTAGACCTTGGTTTCCTCCTGTAGCGATAGTGGCTGCCATTGAGTGAGGGTTTGGTGAGTGGCAGACTCCCTGCAAAGCACACGACAGGCACTACTGTCTCATTGTAATTTACATTGCAACTCCACAAATTAAGATTCTGACCCTTAGTCTTAGACTAATGAGCTGTATGACTTTGGGAAAATCATTTAACCTCTCTTTACAGATGAGAAAACTGAGGCTTTTACACTTATCTAACTCGCCCAGCAGCCCAGAGCAACGTTAGAGCTCCGCAACAGAGCAGAGATAATTCTCTCCCAGATAATGGCCCCAGGGAACTTCTGTCACCTCAATCAGCAAAGAATGACTCACTTATGTGCTCGCTGTTGTACCTATTAAAGCGGAAAAATAGGCTCATATATCTTAGATTTTCAGTAACATAGAGAGAATCAGAATCAGAGAGAAAAACACCCATAGCATCCTCTTTCTGAGCAGTGTTGTTCGTGGACGTTTTACTCAGTTTAGAATCGTGAAACTTTAAACTGGCAGTGACTCTATAAAGCTGAAAGAGATCAGTCCATCACATCCTCCTTTTATAGATAAGGGAACTGAGGCCCTGAAATGTGAAATGAATGACTCTCCCTAAATCACACAGAAATAGTAGCAGAGCTTTAAAGAAAATGCAAGTCGTAATATTGCCAGTGTTCTTTCTATTGCCTGCTGATGGTTTGGACTGTTCTCTGTGAGAGAGTGCTATGTGAGCACAGATAAATTTTGCCTCAATAATGATTCCTGGCCTAGTATCTCCTGAATTTAGTATCTGTACAGACATGTACACACACAACCTCCCTCCCCCGCAAGCCATAGCACTTTTTTAAGATACAGTAAATGGGACTTTTATATTACACTGTGACCACCTCTTAGGGTGTTGGAGAGTAATTATTGTTTTGGGGAACTGTGAAGGTGGGGCGGGTTTCATATGAATTCTCTGCCATACAGATAGAGTGAAGGCTCCATCCCATATCTTGCTTTTAGTAATAGATACTAATGAACACCAATGCATTATCTTGTAATATGCAACCCTTTCAGCTGAACATGTGTTTGAATTGCAGTCTGAATGATATTGTTGCTCTGGGACCTGAGCGTTTTTACGCCACAAACGACCACTATTTTGTCAACCACTACCTGAGATCCTGGGAGACTTATTTGGGCTTAGCCTTGTCATACGTTGTTTACTATAGCCCAGAAGAAGTTAAAGTCGTGGCAGACAAGTTTGACTTCATTAATGGAATCAACATTTCACCTGATGGCAAGTATGGACAATTTTAAAAATGTCATGCCTTTCCCTGTGTTCTTGTTAGATATCATTTTGAACATATTCCTTTTCTAAATAACCTGATGCATTTTTAACATGTTATCCTGGCAAGAGGAAATTAAGAAAAAATGTAAAATATCTTAATTTTTCAGGAGATAAAATTTATCAAATCAAAATTTTCTATTTGGTGAAGACATACTTTTGAATTTTTTGGGGGGGGCACCTGGAAAGTACATTTCAAAGGGGTGAATAAACATTTAGTATTACTAAATATTACTGCGATCATTGTTTAGTATTGCTAAATAATGCTGTGATAAACAGAACTACTAAATAATATTGTGACAGTCATTTAGTATTACTAAACAATATTGTGATAAACACTTAGTATCGCTAAATAATACTGTGATAACCATTTAGTACTACTAAATAGCTTTGCTTTGAGGGAAGGTTTTTTTAGTGTATAATGAGATCAATAGCAATAGGTGTATATGTCAGTAGTGCTGCTTTATGACAAGATAAAGAGCTCACACCAAGGTGTAAATAAAGGCACTGCTTCCTTCATCAAAAAGTGCTACTAAGGGGAGGAAAGTCAACTAAGCAGCGGGCTTCGTGATGGCTTCGTGATGGCTTCGTGATGTAGCTGATTTACATTATTATCTGGTTGTGGCCCTGAACCAAGCCAATTCACCTCATCTTGGAACACCATGAATTTCAGAGGGTTAGCAACATATTTGGAGATAGCAACGTGAACAGCTTGCAGTTAGTTATTCATATCATCTCCTGGTCTTCAAAAATAGCAGATTCTCACAGGTCTTTATGATGAGTGCGGCATTGCCCTGTGCACAAAATACTAAATCCACAGCATCAGGACCCGACTCAGGGTAGGAGGGGAGGAAGACTCCTCTCAGATCCAGAGTAAGCATCTTGTCTCTTCTGGCCTAAAACAAGGAGCTGATTGTCCAAGGGCTTCCCTGCAGCCTGGCGGAGAGAGCCTGCGCTCCTCTGAGAGGCAGAAGCCGGGGCTTGCTGCCACATTGACAAAATAAGAGAAGCACTGCAGTGCTTTTATCTCCCAGATGGAAGAGCTGGTGTTCAGGGCTAACTAGGGCCAACTAGGTTCCTACCCTTAGAAATAACTTCACAGGATTCAAACTCCTCTGTGCACTGTAAACTCAGTAGTTCTTTCAGAATTTTGCGTGCTTTGAGATGGGTTCCATTTCCAGTCTCTAAGCAAAGTTCTTCTCGAGGAAGGGTTGTCACAACTTTACCGTCACCTTTAGAATGTCCTCACTTCCAATGCTCTTTCTTCCTTGAAGGTATGTCTATTTATCTGAATCTCTGGCTCATACGATTCATGTGTATGAAAAGCATGCTAATTGGACTTTAACTCCATTGAAGGTAAGATATATTAACACTGTAAGTTTGCAGAGTGATAATTAGATTCTACTTGATTTGTGAAACTAAAAGTGAGGGAAAAAGGATTGTCTAATTGGAGTGGATGAGAACCAATTTTTCACTCCTTTATTAAGAGCCATCTGCATCTTATGTGTTTGTTGTTCACTTTTACTCAGCTGCGGAGTAGGAAGCAGCAGATCACACATCTCACCTGTGAAACTCTGATTCTTTCAACTTCAGTGAATTTTAAGCTTGGCATTGTATTCCTGGACCTATCTTCCTCTCTTCCTCCCTCCCTCCCTCTCTTCTCTCCCTTTCTCCTCTTCTCCTTTCTTTCTTCCTTTCGCACTTTCTTTTTTTTCTTGATGTTGACAGAATAACCAAGAAATCACCTCAACTGGTACTTAAAATGACAGGGCTCTCCGCAACATTTACGAAGCCTAAAAGCCAGTGGTGGCTGCGTGTGTCCCATCAGCTGGTCCCTGTGCTGCCTTTCTCTCCAACCCTGTCCCTCTGCTGAGCCTCTCCTGCCTGCGCGTACCTGGTGCTTGTCTGACATGGCCCCGCCTCATGATGAGGCACCGTTTCCTCTGCCCAGCTGATCTTCCTCCCGAAGGCCATGGTTCTCTCCTTCATACCCTTTCAGATTTTACTAAATTGTCACCTCAGTGAGGCCTCTCCTGGCTCCCTAATCTACAGTTGCATCTCTGCTCCCCTCTACACACACACACACACACACACACACACACACTCACTCTTCCTATCTCCTTTATGACTTTATTCCCTTTCAGCATTTATTATGAACATCCCGTGTATTTTATCTACCATCTCCACTGGCCGCCTCTCCCACTAGGGCTGGAAGCTCCACAAAACAGTTGTTCTCCCCTCATTTGTTCCTAGAAGGTGCCCCCCACCGCCCTTAACAAACACTGGTTCAATAAGTATGATGGGGCTGGGCATGCTTTAGAGGGCTCATCTTCTACCCCTGCCAATTCTGATCCATTTTGAAGATTTGGGTCAAAAGAGGTAAAAACACAAAAGAGAGGAAAGAGAGAGTGAGAGCGAAGTGGAGCGTTGTGAACGTAGTCCCCTGCCCCTGAAAAACAAGCCATCGCTCTCCCGCCATAACCGCCCACAGCAGGAAGTGCTGTCACCAGGCCCTGTCACGGTTCCCATCAGCACATCTGAGGGAGTGTGTCATGAGGGGCTTCACTCCAGGAAAATTACCTTGAAGCAACATCAAATGTAACATTATGTTTGACATTAAAAATCATTGGCAGGGCTAGTTTGGTATTAGCTGAAGTAAAATGGAATTTCACACACTCATACTGGCTGAGGGAATAAGAACAAACTGTGCTTGTAGCCATATGTGCATCTGTAAATGGAAAGGTAAAGAATTTTTAAAGAATAGAACCCAGTCCAGTAAACATTCAACGTACGACGATAAGGGCACAGCTCCTGCCTTGGCCATATTGAGGGCAAGGCTGACTACAGGTTTGACTACCACATTTGGCACAGCTCAGCTGAAGCTACCCCAGCAGCTGAAGTGTCATTCTTCCTTTTGAAGGATCATATGAATTAAGCCAGTTAATTAATACCTGGAGTGCCAAGGAATGTGCTGAGATTGATTTTAGAATGTTCAGTGCAATGCGAGTGGGGTTATGTCCTGTCAAAGTTTGATAAGTATATCCAACGAACCATTATTCAGCCTTCAGAAGGAAAGACCTACCGATACATGCTACAACATGGAAGAGCCTTAAAGATATTATGCTGAGTGAAATAAGGTAGACACAAAAGGAAAAATATTATAGGATCCCATACTTAGATGAGGTACCTAGGTTAGGTCAATTCACAATAGAAAGTACGATAGAGGCTACCAGGGGTTGGTGGAGAGAGGAAGGGGAGCTTGTGGGCAGTTTCTATTTGGGATGATGAACAGTTCTGGAAATAGATAGTGGTGATAGTTGTACAACACCGTAAATGTTCTTAATGCCACTGAATCGTATGCATAAAGTTGGTTAAAATGACAAATTTCATGTTATGCATATTTTACCACAATGAAAATAATCCCCTCCCCAAAATTCAAGGCAGCCAATCAATTAGTCCTACTTCAATGAATTGCAATTCTCCAAAAATTGGGATATTTGTTAACAGAGGATATAGTTTTTCCCAAAAAGAATAATTTATTAAGTTTCCTTGACCAAGGAATGTAAAGTTTCCAGTTGGCTTTGTGGAGGCGTGAAATGCAGCACGTGTGTGCATGGTGGTGAGTTAGCATTGCTAGGAATTGCAGGTTTGCAAGGCAGGAGCCCAGCACAGGTTCCCTTTTGGACCACGAGCATTTCCTTGGCAGGAACCGGGTCTGCCGCTCACTCTGTCCTCTCCAGGGTCTGAGCTCCTTGCAGAGCACATGGCAGGAGACCAGGAGACCAGGAGTCTGGGTTGAATGAATGGGACCCCAGGCTCCTGTGCCCTTCTCTCACTCTTGCCTCCTACTCCCAACTCCTGGTTGATCTGCCATGGAATTCGCCCACTGGCTATCACCTCTTCCAAAGATAATAGCAGAGCCCTTGTTATTCTTATAGACAAACATTTCCCTTGTTTAAAGAAAGTAACATCTCACAGCGGAATGCCTGACACTGTGATAGATGGGTGCTCCGCCAGTGAAGAAGGCCTGGAGCAGATCTTGCCCAGAGTGCGCTTGCTCAGCCACCTCCTCTGGCCAGCCTTGCCTGTTGTCAAGGTACGAGTGAGCGATGGATTTGCATGAAGGTGAAAAGGAGACTCTGCCACCATACTTGAGCCCTCTAGTCCCTTCAGGGACCTGTGGGGATGGCTCTCATTTTGAGCAGGGAGCACAGGGTGGCATTGGCTCCCTGCAGCTGCCTGCCCACTGCCTGGCCTTTGCCATGCATCACTGCCGGTTATTACAGGGTCTCTGGGCGCCGGGGTGCGCTGGCCGCTGTTGGAGGTACACAGTAGATCTTACTTCTCCAACTGAGAGCGAGAGGGAAACAAATAGATGTGATTTCTTCCCCGTAGAAGGCAGCCAAGATGATGAATGGTGGAATTAAGGATGGTTGGTGTTATTTACGATCCTGGTGCAAAGCCGCGACAGCAATCTGTGCAGTCATCACATGCTTGCTACTTATATTTAGCAAATAAACAGCAGAAGAACAGGGAGCTGAATAACATCAGGAAACGAAAGAAGAAACTTCTTCCCAACTCCAAGGCAAAAATTCGACCCCGGGGCGATCATTTGTCCTAGGGCTGCAGAGCCTGTGATTAGGCGCTGACGGACGAGCCTACTTTTCACTGATGTTCTCATCAGAAATGAATCTACATTTCCTGGTTGTTTTCTGAATGCTTATAAAAATATCATTTGTTCATGCTGTTTTAGAGATGAACTGTTTTAAGCTTAACACTGCTTTTCTCCCTCCATTTTTAGGTTCATGTACAGATGTTAGTCCAAATGATTTCATTGAAATTTTAAGTCTTTCTCGGCTTTCTGTATCTTCCCGCTCCCCCATCGGTCCTTATCAGACCCCAGCACGGACGGGATCCCCTGAGCGCTCTTGAAATGGGCAGAATCGCTGTGCCCTGGCACCTGCGGTGCGGCGACCAAGGTCGATACAATAGTTTCCCTGACATATTGCTGTATCATCTCTCAATTTTTTTCACTTCCTATCTTTTGTTCTCTCCTTGTTTTTACTCTGAAAGTCCGTGGTCACTAACACCATCGTGGATAACATATCCGTGGACCCTGTGACAGGGGACCTGTGGATTGGATGCCTCCCCAATGCCATGAGAATCTTCCACCCCGGAGAGCATCCTCCCGGATCGGAGGTTAGTTTGAAAAATGAATCCATTCAGCGACTTTATTCCCAGCTGCTTTTCATTTGAAAATGTAATTCTCAATTATGTGGGCAAATGGAAGGGAGGACATGGATAGATGGTCCAGATGACCAGCTGGAAAAAGGAATTTGACTTTGGGAGGAGTTTTAGACAGAGTCTAGGCAGGAGACAGATGGTACATTTAAACTGGGTAACATGAGGGGATTAAATAAGGACACTGTGTACACTGTTGTGGGCTGAGTGTAGGGAAGTCAACGGGGGATGATGGCGTAGCCCAGGGCTGGCGAGGGGCCAGGGACGCTTACAGAAACAGAACAAGGAGAGAGCTGCGTGTGGAGCGGGTCTTCGAGAGGAGCCTGGGCTCTGCCTGAGGGACGTAGCCACCCAGCAGAGGCCCCCAGGGAGGACGCCTGGAGAACAGGGGCCCTACTTCCCCCGTGGCCCTACCATCCCCCCGCTGCTGCTGCCCCTTGGTGGATCCGAACTGGGAGCTGGAGGGCAGGGGAACCCTTAAAGTCAGTCTTCGTGCATCAGAGCTGAGTGGAGAGTGGACCCGTGGGGCTGGGTTAGGCGAGCCCGCATTGAAGGGGGGTCCATGCCTTTATTTCACTAATGAGTTTCTCCAACTTGGGAATTCACAAAAGTTAAAAAATATACTGTACCTCATTGCCATGGCTACCTGCCTGCCTATTCAACTGCCCCTTCCCATGTGTCACTATATGTGCAAGTTAATGCAGTGGATGGGTCCGAAAGTGCAAATGGGCAACCTCTAACCTTCCCTGCAGAGGGAAGATAAATCACGTGCTGGAATTATTTTGGATTAGAAGACCTTTTAGTTATACTCCCCAAAGACCCTATTCGTGTCCATGGTCTTTAGTTAGTGGACTGTTTTGTCGGTACAATAAGAACTTGAATTTCACTTTGCCACAGATATTTGAATTTTACTATAACTTACCTGGAGTTTGCTATTGTGAGTTTTCAGTATGTACTAATTATACTTGTTATTTACATCAAATACATGGTATTATTTTTCATGTAGTCTACTGCAATGTAGACTACATCAAATTTCATTTTTTAAGATTTCATTTATTTTTAGAGAGGGGGAGAGAAACATCAATGTGTGGTTGCCTCTCATGTGCCCCCTACTGGGAACCTGGTGGGTAACCCAGGTATGTGACCTAGACTGGGAATCAAACCATCGACCTCTTGGTTCACAGGCCGGCACTCAGTCCACTGAGCCACACCAGCCAGGGCTTAAAGCTTAGTTTTAAGAGTCAGTCTTACGCTATCCCCTCAACAGGAAAGGAAAAAAAAAAAAAAAAAAAAATTTATAGCCTGTGTGTCTTGGATTGAAAAAAGAATACACTCACAACCAAATGTATATTTCCCTTTATACCCTTTATTTTTAGGTTTACAGGACAATTTTGATTATGTTTAATGGCAATCCTTTGTGCCTCTTGCTTGTTCTTACTAGTAGGATGCTGCACGGTATGTTTAATAGATTTGAAGAAATGCACACTGTGTGTGTTCACTGGAACTCAGCAGAATGTTAGATTCTAATTTGTTCTTCTTTGTTAGCTCCTTTGGTGAACTTGGGTCATTTGCTATAGCATGGACTTGGTTTGCTCTTCTGGAAAAAATACTTTATTTCTAATGATGGATGTGTTAACACATTGCAAAAAGTAATAACAACCCGTTATCTAATGCATTGCTGTATAGAAAGATACTTTAGGTTTATTAAAAGAGGCTTAATTACTTGAGCCAAGGTGCACCATCAACTATTTCCCAGTAACTACTACAATTTAATCCTCCGGAAATTTTCTAAAAGATCTGTCTTTGGTGTCAGTCGTTTTAAAGAGGTCTTTTTAAATGTTCCCACGGACCCTTTACTATCCTGATACTGGCCTTCCTAGTCTGCCATGTTAGATGTTTTTATATGTACACATCCTTTCTTCAAGTCATTGTATTTCATCCTCAAAGCTTGAGAACAGAAAGTTAGAGTCGAAAGGGAACTTCACCTAGTTCCACCCCTCTCATTCTCCAGATGAGAAACAAACGGGACGTAGAAGCTCCAAAACACAACCCCAGACTCCAGACGTACAGTGTGCTCGTTGGAGTAAAATGAATCATGTGAAATTGTCATTTCATCAGCCAAAAAAGTCAAATATGAACTATTGCATGTAGTCAGCCTAACATACTGCTTCATTGTTGTTCATGATACAATCCTATTTCTTCTCAGCTATATGAAGGAAACTAAACTTACAAAATATTATTTAGAGTTGGGCTCTTAAGTTCAGAGAAATGGATAAGTGTGGTACAGACATATATTCTTTTTGGGGACATACTTTTTTTTTTTTGATTGCCAGCATCTAAAAACCAAAAATTAAATATAAACATCCAAATTCTTAATTATCTGAGAATACACAGAATCTGTCCTGAATGCCAGCATGGTAATAATTTGCCTATTACTAACATTCTCCTCCCCTCTTATTTACCATAGTCTCCCCTGCCCCCTAATGTCTCACACCCAAGCTGTGCTCCTTGTTTAATTCTTGCCTTATTTCTGTAGGACTGTCATTTTGCCAATGGAGGAACATGTGTTTTATATTGAGAATAATTTTGGAACAACATAGGATTTACCTTAAGGCTCTTTCTGGAGAAATGACTCCATATTTAAAGTTACGTTTTAAGTGATTAGAAAAAATTAACGAAATATTTTTTCTTTGATAGGTGCTCCAAATCCAGAACATTTTAACAGATGAACTCAAAGTCACAGAGGTTTATGCAGAAAATGGTAAAGTGTTGCAAGGAAGTTCAGTTGCCTTTGTGTACAAGGGGAAATTGCTGATTGGCACTGTGTGCCAAAAAGCTCTTTACTGCGAGCTCTAAGAGGCTGATTTGCGCCCATGCCATGGAAGCTGCGAACCCGTCATTTCAGCTGCTTGCCACCTCGAAGAGACCAGCGATCTCATCTGAATGATGAACACTGACCCTAAATGAGGACACTGTTTGGGATGAAAGTGCTATTTGACTGAGAAATACGATGTGGAAGGCTTGCTGAGAGTACAATGTCAAATCAGTCTCGGGAGACTTGAAAACCTCATTTACCAGTAAAAATCCTTTATGGTAAAATGGTTTATGTTGTCATATCAGTTGTCAGGTATTAAATCATGTAACTGTACGTGACCCAGAAGGTACTTTCCCAAAGGCCTGTGTTCCCCAAGCACTTATGAACTTATTGCTGCCCTGCTGAGTCTTGTTCAGAAAACAGGAGCACAGACCCTGGCTGAACGGCTCAGGTGGTTGGAGAGTCGGACCATACACCAGAAGGTTGTGGGTTCGATTCCCAGTCAGGACACATACCCAGGTTGCAGGTTTGATCCCAGAGCTGACTAATGCTTTTCTCTTACATCAATGTTTCTCCCCCTTCCCCAAAATCAAAAAGCCTATCAGGTGAGGATTAAAACTATATATATAAAAAATAAAAGAAATCAGGAGAGCAGGATGGCCTCATGGGTCATCAGAAGCCCAGGACACACCCAGGGACTCCCGTTCATGTGCTGGAAAACTGGATGTGCACTGAAAACCACCCCTCCACTCCAGGCATCTCTCCTTAAGCAAAGCCATTAGACACATTGCAGAGTCAGACTTATGTTCCCCCTCTACACACGACTTCCTTAGTAAACATAAACTGCAGTGCCCCAGCTCTCCTTCTATTCTTGCTTATTCAATGCTCCTCTAGCAAATGGCATGTAAGAAAATCTTAAAAATTCTTGGGAGTGTTGTCGCACTTGAAAATTATGAGTGTCTGTTATATCAGCCTACATTATACATTTTAATTGCTTTGACCTGGTAAAAGGAAGAAGTTTATTCACATCAGTGATTGGATACAGAGGGAAGCCCAAAACTGATTTGCGTAAAGCTAAGTGCCCCCAAGACAACCTTGTTTTTGAGGTGGCAGCTGTTCTTTTTCTATTCTAACTTGCTGTGGAGGCTAGGAAGAAAATGATAGAAAAGTAAACAAAAATAAGAATGATCAATGACCTTTGTGATCTTCTGAGGGACATGACTCTGAGAAAAAGAAAAAAAAAACCGGCTATTATTTTCTTTTAAAAAAATTTATTTTTAAAAAGAGGGGCAGGGAAACATCAATGTGTGTTTGCCTCTTGTGCGCCCACTACTGGGGACCTAGCCTGCAACCCAGGCATGTGTCCTGACTGGGAATCTAACCAGTGACCCTTTAGTTTGCAGGCCTGCACTCAATCCACTGAGCCACACCAGCTGGGGTGTACTATTTTCTTATAAAAGCTGTCTGAAGGTATGGCTTCCAGCCTGAATGGTTTCTTTGGGATGTTAAGGCAGTCACGTTAGAAACAAAGTTTTTCTAAGGCATTTGGCATGATGATGGTCTGGCTTTTGCGGAAAAAATGTTTTGCTGATAAATTGAGAATAGCTAATAGTTTGAGACCACTGCCTTAAAGTAATAAACAGGAACATTTTGTTTGGACCAAAAAACACTTTCCTCCCAATAGGATAAGAGGTATTTTTAATCACAATTTTGCTGAGCATGATGTCATGTTATTCAGTGATGATGTTTGCAGCCCTTGAGCTGGATTCTAAGAAATATTGTTTTGAACCCATCAGTAGCTGTGATGCTTAGGTTGAAAAAAGCCCCATTATTTCCTTTAAAAAGAATCACTTGATATCATCAATAAAATGACCGTCTGTTCTCTCACTTTGAACAAAATAAGTAAATTCTGCCCCATCCTTAGAAGAGAAAGCTATCCAATCTGACATCGTTTATGCTCAAGATCATTGAAAAAGGGGCACAGGTTACCCTTAGTTAGAATTTCTTAACACATTCCAAGAAAAACAGCTTAGTTCATTTGTTCTGATGTTTTGATGTAATTTTTTTGCACTGCCAGAAGTTTAGTCACAAATTATGGTATGCGTGTGTGTGTGTGTGTGCGTGTGTGTGTGTATGTGAGAGAGAGAGAAAGAGAGAAATTAACACCCCTCAATTTGATATATTCAAGTCTTCTCACCATTTAAAGTTTTGGAAATAAAATTGTTGAAAGGAACCCCATACTCTGGGATAGCCTGATTCTTAGCTTGCCCACCAACCATGCTGTGGGACTGTGTGAGGCCGGCTGCTTAAGGATTTGTCCCCGACCTTCTGGCCGACAGGTGCCAGACCGTGTGAAGGTGAAGCCATGGTGGGAACAGAAAGACGGCTGAGGGAGCTTCTAGTGAGGCTTTGATCTTTCCACGGTATGCCCAGTTCCATAATTGTGCTTTCAAATGTAATTTGAGCTGCCAATTTACACTTTACTGGGGCTAAAACTTATTTTTAGTTTCATTTCCATGGAAAATGTGCACTTTGCTCTTGATTGATAGATGTATTTTGACAGTTAATACAGGCCTACCCAGTCAAGGCTTGTTGAAGGTGAAAATGGAAGAGGAAGAAAAAATTACTTCGACAGATCTCAGTGTTTCTCTTTTTATTGCATTCGTTGTCTAACAACAATAATACTCATTGGCAAGAAATTTATTTACACTAACAAATTAAATTTAATCACACATATTTTTAGGTGGGTCAGAAAACAAAGGATATTTTGCTTTGAATGCTTCTGAGAACCAAAGAGTAAGAAATGCCATTTGAAACGGAACAATCTAGAGAAATACATATCAACCAAGCACAGGAGAACAATTCAGACGTGGCACTATTGTCTCTTCCATGCAAATGATCAGACACCAAAAAGTACAAATCATAAGTGTCAGATAACATGCTATCCATATTTATTGGACTTAAAATTACTTTCAAACAACTTTTTTTTCCTTTATAGAAAGAATAAAATAAATCAACTTCTTACAATGGAACAGAATTCATTCTCTCTCTTTCTTGTTTTTCAGCCAGTCAATTTGTTACTCATATGCAGCACACGTACTTGTGGTTTAATTGTAACTCCATTAAAAAAATACAAAAGCAGCAGTGATGACCATAAATAATATTCCGGAAAACATGTACATAAATATTTAAGGGATTTCACTAAGCACTAACGAAATCGTATGTTGTTGGGAGGTGTTAGCCAGCCAGAGTGCCTCTTAATCCCCACTTTTTAAGGTAATTTAATTCTTTGGCCAATTGTTCTTTCATACACAAAAGACTAAATCCTTACCAGAAAACCCGGGTGCGTAAAGAAAATAGCTGAGAGAACTAGGAGTGTACACCTTCCAACAACATACTCACACTGACATCCATTTGGCAATAACCTAACCAGGCCATCACTGGGCAAAAGGGAGATAAATGGTCACGTGACAGCAATGCTGCCATCAGAGAGCCAGTAGTTAGTGACTTACACATCACGGCTACCGAAAATGTCATAGTAGAGCATGAGCGAATGCACAAGAACACACAGTGCAATGTTGAGCCAAGGAAACTGCAGTGTGCAGTTGAAAATGCCCAAAGCTGCATAAACGTCTGAGTTTCACCTCAGCAATGTGCAATCTTGACATCAAAGCATTAACCAAACATTTCCGGAAATTTTACCTTACTAAAATACCAAGTTTCTAATAAATCAATTTTACCAAAATATATAGACATGTAGAAGGATAAGTGCATTTAGTAGAAGATATACGTTAAAAAAATCTCTTAAAATCTTATGAACCATTCAATGTATATACAACACAAAAAGTGGCAATAAGGCTATGATTACTGCTGGGGGTCCTAACTGACAATACCAAGTTCCAAAGACAATATCTATTTTTTTTTAATGCCATGTCATTGCGGTATGTGTGTGTAAGGTGGGAGATATATTCACACATATGTAGTCTGTATATCTACACAAGTGGCATGCACATTATTAAGACGTTAACTCTTGTTCTCTTATTCCTTGCCTCTCATTCATTCTTGAATCCCTAGCAGTTTGGGGGTTGGGACTGGGGTAGGGCCAAGGACTAGAAATCATCATGTTTCTTTCCTTCCCCACTCTGTAGATGTGGCAGCAGGGTGCGTGCTGTACTCGGTGTGTGAGCCTTCAAGTAGCGCCCATGCCCTCAGCACATCCACGCAGACACCCATGCTCAGGCATGTAAGGGTCCTCTGTCCACCGTCAGGTAAACCCTGCTGCTTTCACTTTCTGGGGGGGTAATTGATCTGTAGGCTTTTACTTTGCCCTTTGATTTCTTGGCTGGGTCTATTCTATACTACTACTTTAAGTCATGCAAATAAATACTGGTGTTCTGTCTGGTGTTATGTTTTTCCCCCCGGTGTTTTGGACCAAGAATAAATTTTCCTGAGACTTTAAATAACTAAGACAAATATAAATAAAATCTGCTGGCAGATCATGACTGGTTTTTCAGGAGTGAATTGCAGCAACCACATTCATATTTCTTACAATACTTTTCTGTAGAAATTTACTTCCCATCCCATCATCATAATGAAAACAATTCTAGTAGAAATTATGGACATTTTATTTCTGGGCATCATCCTTAAAGGCTTAGCTTCAGATAGTGTATAGGTAGACCCTTGATTAAAGGTGAATTTGAAAAATTCAGAAAGCACTCAGGAGTAGCGGTACATAGGTGACGTGAACCCTAGTGACTGCTATCTACCAAAGCGAAATGCACCTCAGCTACAGCTCTCTCAGGAAAGTGTGTTTAGTTACTCAAATGGAATTTGGTAATTCTTAAATTGTTCAATGTAGTGAGGGGCTACAACACCTTCAAAGTGTAGATATTTCTTTAGAATTGTTAGGATGCCCCCCCTTTGAAATCTTCTTGACTACTATTGTTAAACACACGGCTTTTCTCTCTTGAGGCTTGGTCTATGTAACCTTTAACACTTATAAATGAGTTACAATATTCATAGAAATGCAAATTTTCTTTTACCTTTTAAAATATAGCTTTAAAGCCCATGCTAATCCAATCACACAAACAACCTAGATGAGAATTCTTTGTCTTCAGCAAAAACCATAAATGCTAATTAAGGTCAAACAACCTGGGACTATTTTTGGAGGTCGGGCCTGGGATGTCTTACGATTTCAGGCTAGAGACGACTGCTATATAAAAGGCATCGGCAAAGGCTAGTTAATTTGGTTCCTCACTCATCCTCTTGCCACTTTGTCCCCGACAATAACAAAGGAGCACCGGGTAGGTGTTCCCATTTCATGCCTCTTAAAAGCTGAGTTTGGCATTAGCACCTGGGTTAGAAATGCTTATGTGATGTTGAGGGTAGGAAATTCATCAACCCCAGCTAAGGAAAGATAGTATAGAATAGCTTTATTGTCCTAAAACTAGAGGTGAAATTCATCAGTCTGCTAGAATGGGCAAAATTAGGTTTCTGCCTTAACCTATTACTCTGAAGCTACCTTCTGATTCAGGCAAAGAAAAAAAAATTGAGAAAACTATTACACAAACTGTGAGTTACTTAAGGGAAATAGCCTTAAATAAAGTAATTCTGTTATAAAGCTCAAGCCCTTCAGTGGAAAACCCCCACCTAGACCTTCAGCTCATACAATGCTCTTGGTCCACAGCTTGGCCTCACCATGCATACCCTGCCCCCCAAAGCATTCCCTGCCCCCCAAAACACTTCTGGCTATTGCCAGAGTCATACAGAACTGTCATTTAGGGAACACATAGTTCATAGTAACCAGATATTCCTTTTCTGTTCATTTTCTGATAAGGAAAAAACTGCAAAGTCTTTAAGGTTCATGGAGCAACAGTTCTCTGTTAGGTTGTATGGACACCAAAAAGCACAACCATTAAAGAAGGAATTGTGTAAGACACTGGAACCTCAATGAGGCATCATGCACTAGAGTTGATTTAAAAAGATAGTAGGAAAACAAAATGCTCACAAGTTCTGAGGTCCTTCACTCTGTTTTCATGCCCTTTTATCAACCAGTTTCCATTTTATCCTTTGCTGGATAATCAAATCAAGTGTCTCTTATCATTTCAGCAGTTTTAAGTAGTAATGTTAAAAATAACAAATTAGGATGAAAATTACTATAATTTAACTTAACAAATCAAAATAGATACAACACAAACTAAATGATTTGAAGAAAAAGAATTTGATTAATAATATTGCCAGTTGGTCATTAATTTAAACATTGGGAGTGTACAAATAAATTGAAGACAAAGAACAATATTCTAGGACATTTAAGAAAATGAAATATAATAGATCATAAATTATGTGCAGAGACTGAGACTTACAGACATTTCCAGTATATACATCCATTTTCAAATATTACCAAAGTGTAAACATAACTTAAGATAATCATCCTTCTATTTCCATTCTTCAAATGAATACAGTGAAACTTCCAGTGTGATCCAGGTCACTTTTTTTCAAAGAAAAATAGCAAAAATTAATAATAGCAAGCACTAGTATTACCAGATTTTGACTAATTTAGCCTTTAAGTATTAGAAAAGGTTTGCTGGACTTTGTAGTTCGTTAATAGTGGTTCCTTGTGTCTCATGGTAATCATAAAGAGCAAAGCACCACGCAGCTCACAATATTAACAGAATCTCCAGTATGGCAGTCTCGTTATCATACCCGAAAATGAAGGCAGGCAGAGAAAACATACATGGTGACTTTGATAACTGTAAGACACAGTGTAGCTTTATGTCAGTGTTACTGTAGAAGGAAAAGAATGATCTGTACCTACAGATAAAAGCGCTGAAGTTTAGCAGATAACACATTTCGGAAAGAACAGAATTATGACTTTCTAGTTTAGACAATTCCAGATTTAAAATATTCAGGCAAGCAAAAAAGTAAAATCACAATGTTCAAAATACGAGATGGAGCGATATGGGTTGGGGCCCTGCAGTATCTGCTACCTATAACCTACCTCCAAAGCCCCCTCTGTGAGCTCTGCGAATAGAACATTTCCAGCGGAAGGTATGGACAGAGACTCTCCATGTAGTACAGAAGTACAGTGTTTGTCCACGAGTATGTCAGCCCTCAACTCTTACGTGGGAACCTGTTCCTTGGAAAGTGGAGGACCTCATTTTTAGAGCCAATGCAGCAAAGAGAACCAGATACATAAACATGAAAAGCAAAACAACAACTACAACAAAAATAAGATCCATCATTTGAAAGTTCTCAAGGTGAGTTATCTTTTCCTCCTTCTGCCCTACTCTCTGGCCCTTGAATGAGTTTGATGAAATACTGAAATCCTTAAGGCAGGCTCTAAAATACACTGAACTGCCTCCACTGCTAGACTGTATGCTGTGTGCTATCTTAAACAAACTTTAACTGTAAAGTGAAAAATCTCTGAAAGATGGAGGAGAATGGCTCAGAAAAACCATTGAAAGCATCTCGAAACATAACTGACAGCTCCCCTTTAAAGAAACATTCTGTGTGCCCAAGAAAATTGCCTCTCTGGTTGAATGTTACTCAAATCCAAATTTTCTCAAACTGGTATTTCTATTTTTCTTAAAAGCACATTTGTTAAAACACTAACTGAGTCCACTTGGGAAACCTTTTGAGTAGAAAATATGTGACGAGTTCCTGACTGTGTCACAGTTTGGCTGAAGACTTTCCAGAATGTTCCCCAGGAGAGGAAACCTGAAAATGTTGGTTTCCTTAAAAATCAATTTCCTGTTCAATTTGTTGGGGAGAAGGAATTGTGTTGTGTGTGTCAGGGCTGCTAAAATACTGAAGCGCAGCAGTAGCTAAGTAAACAATAGATCCTGATAGCCCATGGCTGCATTAACGTCTGATTTCTCCTTTGTTCGCCTAAATCTAGAGGATAAATGTTACCCTCTGAATCCCAAGGTAATACCCACGTCCACATTCTTAAGGCTTTTGCTTCCTTCTGGGGTTAACAAATGACTATAATTCTTTTCTCCCTTTCAGATGCCCAGCAAGCAGAACGGTGTGCTTGCCTTTTGCCACAGCAGGTAATCATGTGGCAGAACGCCTGTGCTTCCACAGCGGGGCTGTCTCACTGTCCAGACACAGAAATGGCGGGGAAACTTTCCCACACTTCGCAGTGGATTCTGCAGCCCCATCTCACGGCAGAGCGGTGCTCTCAGCCACGCAGAACAGGTGCAAACGCGCAGGGTCAGGATCCCATACGGACAATTCACGGCACTCCAATAACAACACTTGTTGGGCATTGTCATGCTGGTTTTCCAAGTGACATACCCACCCACCCAACACAGCACAAGATATTGGTAAGTAAGAGAAGAGGGAAACATAGCTAATTTGCATTTCTCACAAATGAGCTCCTTGGTTTGTTAATAAACTAAAGGTTGCTTGGGATTATTTCAGTAGGTTAAAATTAAGGGTATTCCATTATCACAGAAAATGCAGTTATTCAACACAAGGTCCCCAGCCTGCCTACAGCACACTCCCCCTGCCGTCTGTTTTTTTCTTCATTTCTCCGCAGGAAAGCGGGGCAGGAGGAGGGGACTCTCTTGGAGCGCCCGGCCTCCCAGGAGGGTGCGTATTACTGCTCACCAGCGCCCTCTGTTGCAGCTGTCATCTTCTCTGTCTTTTTATGTTTCCTCTGCATTTGCTCCTGTTCCTTCCTCCTAAGCTTTTCTCTTTGTTTTTCCATTTTCTCTTGAGCTTTCCGAGCCTTCTCGAGAGACACCTTCATTTCCTTGAGTTTTTTTTTGACCACTGCTCGGTCCTGGGATGATGTCATTCCAAGGGCCTAGGAAGGAAATACAAGCAAACTAAATTTGAAAACCAATGGCCTCTCTGCTTATGATGAGGTTGATATCACACTATGTTCAAACTCAAAAATGAATTTAAACATAATTAACGAGGTAAAAACTGAGCAAGAGCTGATGGCATTTGCCAAAAATCTACATACTGGGGGCCTCAGCTTTATTTGCTCTTTTGTTCTCTGAAGTCCCTAGCACAGTACTCGCTGAACCTCATGAAGTAAATGCTTTCCACATTGGTAATTAATGCGTAAATGGGTGAAAAAAAGGGCACAACTCTGCTTCTCCCACCTTTAGGCTGTAGGCAATTACAGGTAAAAGAGAGCAGTGGGCCCCCGCTGCCACCTAGGGCTCCGAGAAGGCAGGAAGGATCGAAGCGGCTTCCCTCCTGCCAAAGTATTCCTTTACAGTGGGGACCAGGGTGTTCGGGGGACCGCAGTGCTCACGTCAGCATGGTTAGCCATCCTCGCTCGCTGTAGGCACACCTGTCCAGGAGGCCTGATTATCAGGAGGAGGTTGCTCGATAAGCTTGGAATTCAGAAGAAGGAGAGTCTGATGCGTACTCTAAATGTTTCATGACCTTCAGAATCAACAGCGGGATGCATCCATCTCCCCAACGGGACAGCCTTGTCAATGGGGCCTTCATATTCACAGGATGTTGATTGATCTCTAACCTTTTCAGGACTGTCAGGAGATACTCATCCGCCCATCCGCCCGGCAGGAGGCTGAGGGCGGGGGGTGGGGGGGGGGGGGGGGGTTGAGAGCTGGCTCTAAGCTCCTTTTGCCCTTTTTCCATAGGGGTTTGAGCGGCCATCTCTGTCTCTGAAAAGAGATGGACTGGACAGGTGAAAATGAGGGTGTGATGGAGGAGGAAGGAAGACACACCTGCACATATTTGGGGATGAGAGTTCTGGGGAAAAACATTACCCCAGTTTTGGAGTGGCATGCAGGGACGAGTGGGGGTCAAGGAGGAATGAATAAAGAAGGGTAGATTCATGGGTTTCGTTTTTAACTCTTACATGATGAAAGCGTTCACAATGGCCATCATGAAAACTCCTCCTACACAGAAGTAAGTAGAGTTAATACATGGACCACGTGTCGCTAGGTGGAAGCAATGGAGGAAGTCCCTAGCTCTCCTGCTCAGCAGCCTACTCTTTAGAACCCCTGACTTTCCGAAACTGCATTTACTCCTCAGAAATGATTCAACGTCCTTTCTGCTGACTGTTGATGAGAATTATCTCTCCCATATGCAGAATGCTCTTATCTAGTGAAAACATTTTAGGTGCTATGAGTAATACAAATTACACTTGGTAACCTAACACAGATATATAATTCTTTACCTTCAGTTTATTTCCATCCAACTGCAGAAGTTGCTCTCCAGTGATGTTCTGGGCACTGAATTCAGACACATACTGCTCCAGATTGAGGCCCCTTAGCCAGTGAGAGACCTGCTGCACACTCCACTCCTGGATGGCCCGGCTCTGACACTGACTGTGTTTGGGAGACTGTCCGTCATCAAGGATCTGAGGTGGGAATGTCACGCAGTGTTGTTAAAGGACCCAGTGCAATGGCTCAGTGTGGTATATCACACTATCCAAAGGAATTTCTCACCTACTAGGGCCATATTTATTTTTAAACCATAAAATGATAAGCTAATGGTCCCAGTTGTATATGTAACGCACATACATAGATATCATTACCTACATGTTTTTAGATAACCGAAAATTTAAAATTGCCCCCAAATAAAGCAGCATTTTCAATGTGGGAAGTTTAATAGTGACAAATGCACTCTAATGTTGCAAGCTTCTACATTAAAACACTTTGGAAAGAGGATCAGATAGAGAAAACAAATTATTTCATTAATCTCTATATGCAAGGCATCCCTCTGCATTTCTTCTCTGATAAGATATTAAAGATACGTAAATACATACTTAACAATATTAGGGTATCTTTCACTTGGAAGAGGAGAGCATTAAGCCCTCAGGCATGTTTAGGGGGAAGTTTCATAGCTGTTATTTCATTTGGGCAGCAAGCATACCTGTGAGGAAGGTGGGGCAGGTAGTATCAATGATTACTTTTAAAAAATAAGGAAACTGAGGCTCTGAAAGTCTACAAATCTGTCCAATGCAGAATATTCTTTTTAATAGTGCAAAGGGTAGGTTGGTTCCTCGAACCACTAAAGCTGAGAGGAGATGAGGCAATGACAGGTCTGGAAGGAGAGACGGAAGTCACCTCAGTGACCGGCGGAGAGAACACAGACAAGGGTATGGGTAAGCCGAGATGAAGGCAGAGGAGGTGAAACAGAGCGAACTGGGTCAGTCGGGTAATGGTGATGCAGACACATCGTGGGACTCTTTCTCAAATCAGAAATATCGTTTAAACTAAGATAGGAGACGAGGGCAGAGAGTAAAACTACTGAACACAGGGAACATCTCTACGACAGAAGCAAGTGCTCTTACATTGTTTGAGTTTTAAGTCAACTGCGGAGAGAGAAAAGATTCAAATAATACCAAAAATGCCACCCCACACAGACCACTGATAGCTCACCTCGTCATCTATCATATCCAGGCTCTGAGTGAGGGAGCAACAAAGGAATCAAAGAGAAAAGTGTTATAGAAACAGGAGACCCAACATATACAGTACACAGTCTTAATCAAATTAAAGTCACGTCAAGCCCGAAGGATGTGGGCAGAAAAGTTTAAGGAAAAAAAACATGTTTTACAAAACAAAAGAACATGTTAGAAAGAAATAACTAAAAACACGTATGAAGAACAAATATCTTTAGTTACAGTGCCTCCCCCCCCCGCCCCCTCTTCCACGGCAGGACTGGTATTTCTTTCCTCTACTTATCTCTTGGGGCGTTAAGTCAATTACTAATGTAATTTCCCACCTCCCTTGTGTATGTTTATTTCCTGAGAATTCTTAGCAATGCTATTTTGACCCTGGTGTCTAAATTGGAGGTTCTTACTTTGTTATCCTTCCTTATCAAACTGTACCTCTCTCCTTTCCAATTCAGTGATTGATTCTCAGTCAGGGGCCACGCCCAGCCCAGAGGGAATATTGGAATTTTAGGGTGGGGAAGCTGAGGGGCAAGGGAATGGCAAATCTGTAAACTCCATGAGATTTCTGAGCTGTTTCCTAGTTTTGCTCTCCAAGGCCCAGCCTCTCATTCCCACACCTAAACAGAGTCATCCCATTTAAATCAGAAAGGCCAAGCCTATGGGATATAGTAAGGGAGGTGCCTGGACCACTTCAAGGGGCTCAGAAACAATACTTTGCTTTCATGTTGAGACGGAGAGAGAGGGAGAGGACAATTTCCTATCAGATATGAAAACACTCTCCTGATGCTCTACGTGCAAAATCTACCTAAACACATTTTCCCTGTGATAGTTCATGGGTATCACATGAACTATCAAATGTATGACTGAGAAAGCAGTTCAGTCGTATGTGCCGTGAGCGTACCTCGTCTGACGACAGTGCCAAGGACTGAGAGAGCCCTGGGGTTTTGGGTTCCGCTCCTAGGCCGCTCAGGTCTGCCGAGCTGGTACTGCTGGGGCTGAAGTCATCGTTGAAGGTAAAATTCTGTAAAAATAAATGAAGCTCAGTGTTATACAAGTGCCATGAAGGAACCTGAGGTAGGTGTGTTTGCCAGTTCTAAAGTTTATTTTGAAGTAATCTTAGAAGAAATTCATTTTTGGTTTGCTAATAGCTTCTGATTAGGCAGTGTTTGAGAACACTGCACCTTCTGTGGTGAATGGGAAATTCTGAGCGCTTTCTCCATCAGATGAAAGGAGAGGCATTTTGGAGCAATGATTCTTCAATCTCTTGTCAAGGGTACAGCATTCATTATCCTCTGCAACTGCTCAGAGGAGTAATATTAATGGTCCTATCTTCTTTCACCCTAATTGTGATGAGTAACAGTGTGAGTAAAAAAAGTACAAGATGGTGTGTGGAGAGCCGAAGTTATTAGGAACAGATGGCGACCCCTGTTAGAAAGGTAGGTTGAGTACCCCCTGGGAAGGAGCGCTTGCTGTTGGCTGTGATAAATACTGTGAGAAATGGCAGGTCATCTCTCCTGGATGTAACCTCCAAGATGATGTGTTCTGGGGGAGGTCACATTGGACACCACACTAATGATATGCTGAAGTGCAACTCTCCCATGGTGCCCATGGCGTGCCCGAGAGGCTGCACCGTGAAGAGACACATGATCCCACAGAGCTACCTGGTGGTGGGGACTGGGGGGAGTAGAAAGAAAACTTCCCCAGGATGTCATTAAACTGTTCAGTGGATAGTAAAAATCAAATCAATTCACAATGGCTATGGAGGTGCACCTGTGAAAACATTTAAAACCAAATCTGGAGCCGGTCTCTCCGGTGTAAGATAATGGTAGAATTATTCAAACAACATTGAGGTGTATCAGATCCAATATTGAAAATGTTTCAAGGCCAAAGTGGTCTACTGCTGTCAGAACTTCTTTTCTAATTCTAGAATGATTGGCTTTCACGGGACTCTAAGAACTTGACCAACACCATCTTGCTTCCTATTTCACTTCCTTAGAAATTGGACTGTTAGTTTTCCATTAGGTTCTCTTGTACAGGGTTTAGTTGGTTGTCAAGAATAAATACCATGCCAGAGGCTGGAAAATTCAGTACCGAACAAACTCCAAGGTTTGCTAAATCTTCAGGAAAGGAAATTAAATCAGAGCGCACGGGGCTAGGCTAGTAGAACATTCAAGCAGGAGGGCATTTAACACAGCACATTACCATTTGATATTGTCAGTGGAGATACAGCCCCAAAGCCCATCAAAACCATGTGAGCTGTTGGCCACAAGGAAAGCGTTAAATTCAAGTAACATTAATCACACATTTCTGTTTGAGAAAGTGAACACAGAGAAAAGGAGACCAAACAACATGTGAAAGTTAGCGACCGTATATGTTTCAATAAAATGTTAGATAAGGTTTGCAGTGTCATGCTGGAAATAACCATCATGCATTGAAAAACAAGTAGCATCCATGCACGTAATTCCTAATTCTGCTGAAGTTAAAGAACTTTCGTGATAGAATTACAATTGTTTGACATGGAAGTTTGATTTAAAAGAAGGAATAAGTAAGGGTGCTATGTCAGCATTGGTTTGTTTTAAAGAGTTTCATTTAGATGTATTGAACACAAATTCAGTCCCAAATTTATTTGTTTTCCAGTAAATCTTGAAGAGCGCAGCAAAAATAGTTTCGTAATGTAATTTAAAATGGAATACTTGGTAAACAGATCTATCACACTGTGCCATAATTCAAATGCATCTTTCCCAGCATGGCTTAACTGTCAAACTGAGATTAAATAGCAATATGTGAAAAGACAGGCAAATCAAAGATTAACGTACAATCTAGAATGGAACAGTATTAAAGAAGGTGATGGTTAAATGAGGTTTTCTTTTTCCCCACACAGGAAATACCATGCATGGTTTATTGCAGTGTTATCACATTGGTTTCTTGGATCCAGAGCATACACACAAGTTGAGAATGCTTTCCAGAGACTGAAGAGGAAGAGATTTGGGATTTTCTTGTTTGCTTTTTTAATCCATGTGTTTTCTACCTTGGACCCCTTTTTATCTGAATTTAGAATTTCAGAAGAAGGCTGGAGGGGACTTGTAGGTGAAGGCAGGTTCCTGAAGGAATAGGATCCTTTGCGGCTCTCATGAAACCACGAGAAAGGCATGCAAGGTGAGCGCGGGGAGGCGGGCGCGGCAGAGGATGGCTTCGCTTTCCAGGGCTCCAGCCTGCCTCTGAAGATCCTGCTCGGGAGAAGAACGGGGCTGTTAGTCCACGAAAGGGCAGAGGAACTCTGAAGGGGCTCTGAGCGGGGTTCAAAGGCACAGTTTGAGAAACCGTCCTACACAACAGGCAAGAGTATAAACTTTTCACTTTTGACTAGAATGCTTATCTTACTATATTCTTTGCATCTGAATGGATTTTGTATTGGCAGACATTTTCAAACTGCTATTGTCATCGAGAATTTTTATGGAGTGTGCCTAATAAACACAGGGGTGGGCAAAAAGTAGGTCTACAGCTGTTTGTATGGAAAGTAATACAAAAATTAATAAATACTACAGGAATACACTTGGCGTTTCACATACTCACAACTGTAAACCTACTTTGCCCTGCCCGGAATTACAGTCAGGGAGGTGCACATCCTTTCAGGAACTGCCACGCGGTTAGCCGTCACGGCGTTCCTTTCGTGTGGGTCACACATCCGTGCCTTACCCTCGCGACACTTTGCTCGTCATCAGCATTCTTTCCTGGCCTCCTCTGAACTCATGATCCCAAGGGTCTATACTTGAGAAAATGAGAGACTTAAATAATTTGGAAATCTCAGGGCTCAGGATCCTTTAAGCAGAAGACACGCGTTGTTGGGTTTTCATCGTAATCTTAGTGCCTTTTCACAGGAGGAGCATCAGACCGGAAGTCTCCATACTCTCCACTCGGAGGTCCAGGCTCCGCCACCTCCTGAACACATGGCCTTGGGACTCTCTCAGTCTCTATTTCCTTATCTGTAAAGGGTAGATACTTTTGGCTCTCATATGCGGTTAAGAATTTAATGAGATAATATATGTCAAAAGTGCTTTAAAAACTAAAGTGCTCTATGCTTATTGTTCAACATTCGAAGGCATTTGAGAACAGTTTAAAAACAGACATTTTTCTTAATATGTTGCATATTTATGTTTATGTTTTGGTTAGAAAAAATAACTATTAGAGCTGAGGCAGGAATGGGCAGTGTCTGTACATCTTGGAAGAGGCCATCCTCAATGTCCAAATGACAGTTGATGCAATGCCTATGATTAGTTAGCTGTTGATGTCATCACAACAGAGAGATTCCCTTTCATTTAAATGCCTCAGCACCTTAGCTAAATAACTTATATCTAACATGGATACTGCATATCAATCTTCTCACATCTTATTTAAAACATTTCAAAATATTACATATTTTTCATTTACATAAACAGTATAACTCCTAACAATACTGGTTCATTCCCGAAGATTATTGTGAGAATCAAACAAGACAATAAATGTAACGACATCTTGTAAACTGTAAAGCAACATACGAATGGTACAGGGTGGTAAAGATGACAAGTAAAGAGGGTGGAGAGGCCAGTGCAGTTTGGGTAGACTACTGACACCATAGGTTGAGAGAGATAAGTTGTTGGTCACCCTACAGCTTTCAGAAGGTCGGATGACTTAAATGGTGTATTTCTTAAAACATACACACATACAAAAAGGTGTCTGCAAGGATACAGAGAGAAAGACCCACCCGAGGTGTGTCAACCTTCAATTTCATCCTAAAGTTTTGTATCCTTAACTCCACCTACTTACTATGAAAAGGAGAGCAGCGCAGCGGCCTAGCTTCCGCAGGCAGGCCAGCAGAGGCACTGGCCTCTGGAGGGGGTGCTTCTCATCCCTGGGCCAGTCTGGTGAGAATCACTGGGGCAGATGTCCAAACGCACATTCTTGGCCACCCAGACTTACTGAATTAGAATTTGAGGGAGAAGAAGGGAGCAGTGGACCTGGAATCTATTTTAACACATACCTGAGCTAAGTTTTTAACATTTATATTTATTAATATTATCCTGAATGCAAATACGAGGCTTCTGGATCAGAAAATTATTGCATCGGTTCCCCCCATCGTAATTTCCTCTCTCCAGGGTGACATAATGAGAGCCAGATGTCTTATGCTTGGTCTACACTATAGGAGAGGAATCTAAAATATATGAATTTGGATGGCTAAATAGGAGGGACAGCTGTCCGCTCTCTCCCCTCTGAGAGTGGGAGAGAAATCTTGCCTCCTCAATGTAAACAAACTCAACGTGGGAAGGATCTTGGGTTCTAAGCCTTGGGAAAGTAATGTATGTGCTGGGGGGAGATAAAACAAGGATGTCCAGCCACACAGCCTTGGGAATGTCTCTGCAGAGATGGGTCTCATCCCCCTCTCCCCATTGCCACTCCTTAAAAATGCAACTACACACCTCTGGGGAGGGGGCGCCCTCCACACACCTCGCTACCCGTCCACAATTTCACTCCTCAAGTTTGTCTTTTAACTCAGGTCTCACAAGACAATAAAAATGCAGAGGAAGCTCTGGCAGTACAGAAATACAAAAAAAAATTTTTCTCTGTAGCTTCACACTCTAATAATTGAGCACATTTGAAATAAACTGGACCTGATGATTACTTTTCTCCTTTGGTCATACATTTCTGCATCAATGAACCAAAGTAACATGGGGAATTCTTTAAGGGTTCTTTCCACAATTGCAATAAGGTACGGTAGAGTTTCAATTCATGGACACCGTTTTCAAGGTCACAAACAGGCCATTATTAGTGAAGCATGACTATCCTGTCCTATCCTCAAGTGAACTGCCTTTGTAACAACGCTTTTAGAACCATCACCTTTTATTTTTTTAGTAGGCAGAAAATAGGAATATTGGTGCCTAATTTTTGTGATTCTAATAACATATTTGAAAAGGATTTTTGGTAGTTCAAATCCTGGCCAGGCAACATTTCAAGGAAAATCTGAAGACCACCTTTAAACACTTTCATAAAATTCCCGCTGCCAGGAAAATATCCCAGATTGATGAACCCAGCTGACTCGGACATCGGCACAGAAGACAGGCCTGGAGGCCACAGTGGGAGCAGGATAGAGGAGATTGTGGAAACCTAGCCTCAGGGGACAACCAGAGGCCCTCCAGATAATGGGAGGTGACGGGAGGCATGGAGGAACAGCCATGGAGAAAGCAATGCAAGCTGTCCCCCTCACTCGTGAGTGTATCCCTGCCTCTGAAACTCCACGACTGATGTAGCCTCTGTGTGCTGGCCAGTATCCATAGAGAACTGACCAGGGGTGTACTTCCATTTGCTTGGACCTAGGGTAGATAATATTCATTTTAAAAAACAAACTATTACTTTAAAATTATAGACCTGTCAGCTTACCAGGCATGCCTCCTAAAATAAATGCCAATTTCCTTCTGGATAAATTGACCTCCTGAATCTACAAAAGGAGCAGAGGAGTTCTGGTAACAGTTACTCTGTTATTGACCACTCTTACAGTCTGTTTCACTCTGAGGAGAAATTTATTAAAATAACATAAAATTATCCCTTCCTTTTCTTCCTTTCCTTCCTTCCTTCTTAACACTTTTGACTCTGGGGGCAGGTTATAGGCTAAGGTTCATAAATTCTATATAAACCCTTAATAATCCCCCTAAAAAAAAAAATCAAGCCCTGGCTGGTATGGCTCAGTGGATTGAGTGCTGGCCTGTGAACCAAAGGGTCGCGGGTTCGATTCCCAGTCAGGGCACAGGCCTGGGTTGTGGGCCAGGTCTCCAGTAGGGGGCATGCAAGAGGCAACCACACATTGATGTTTCTCTCCTTCTCTTTCTCCCTCCTTTCCCCTCTCTAAAAATAAATAAATAAAATGAAAAATAAAATCAAGATTGATGAAAATAAACTCGGTAGATCTGAAAATAACTTCTAGGACATCAAAGTAGGTATGTGTTCTATACTTCCTTCACTTTTTTTTAAAGCTTGTACACTAATGGCTCACTATCATTTTTGGAAGAAACAGAATCATAAGTCATAGCTATATTTCTGTTTATTTTATTGTTAGGAGCTGGAAGAAAGAATGGCTTGAAATTAGGTTTCTGTGATGCTAAAATGTCTTTGGGGGAGGGGATAAGGTGGGGGAGTAACTGTTTCCATCCTTTAAATAGTTTATAAATAGTTTACAATTTTACAGAACCATTAACTCATTTATATACATCTTGAACTCAGTTCTTGCTGGGGCTAGCTCTCCAAAATTAAATTGCTCAGGTAAACATTCCATGGTGATTTTTGGGGGGGTTGATTTTTAACTTTGAACACATGGTGCAGTATTCAGAATCTATTGGATGTCATCAAAATATAGTTAGGAGTTGAGGAACTGCCAGACAGAAAAAACATAAACAGAATATAGAAGTCAAACAGGTAATAAAGGAGGTTAATTGAAGAAAGTTAGGCGCAACCAGAGGAGGGTTGCAGACTTCCATTTACTCACATCTGATGAAGAAACTCTGTAAGGCTCTAACATCGAGACTGGAGCTGTAAAGCCAGTCCCTTCTGAAGGGGACTTGGAGACCCTTAAAGGTAAAAGCTATGACAAGCACGTGTCCCTCTGCAGCTCCGGCCACCACCTGGACATGTCCTGCTTCCAGATCCTGAGTTGTGGTCTGAATCGCTGATCAATAAACAATAGCCCATCTGCAATGGTCACCGCGGAGTGTTCAACTTTAACTTATGACAAGGTTCAGGAGCTGCCCCAAGTATGGCACCGTGGCATAATCTGAGAAACGCCACGTACAGGAAGGGCTCTCTGACTTGCCCTGTCTCCTCTGAGGCAGGTTGCAAGACCCTCAGGTGAGAGCTGCCCTCAGGGAGGACAGGAGTGTGTTACCTCCAGAGGCTCCCAGAGGAACCTGCACCTGAACGCGCAGGCCCTGCTAAGCTTCCCGTTCACTCTCCTCAGCTCAGACCCTTGGGTCCTATCACATTTTCCCACAACCCCGCACTCTTCATAAAAATACTTAGGCTCAGCCCCTTCTTTGGATCTTCATTTTCTTATGAAGGCTTCTGTGTCACATACAAATTATATTAAATATATTGATATGCTTTTCCCTTGTTAATCTGTTTTTTGTTAACCTAATTCACAGGGCTCCAACCGGATTACCTGGGAGGGTAGACGGAAAAGGTTTGGTTTTGTTTTTTTACCTCTTCT